CAGATGCAATATATCAGTGACAAGTAAAATGATGGAGGCCCATCCTTATGACAGGATCGAGTAAATCACGGTGCTCTTTCCAAAAGACTGACACCAGCCTTGAAGATTAATTTGAACATAATACTAATGAGCTTATAAGTGGATAGTTCCCCGTCTGGCGACTGTAGCCTATGGCTTTAGTTTAGGATAAATTGCACGCCGAATAACATATAAATGATGCGACCTTTGTGATAACTACCGGTATCATTGCTCCTTGTCTTTCAGGGTCTTCCAAAAAGCTATTTATGTGATAGGTAAGTCTTACAGAGTCATGATGTTAAAGTATCCGATCATGTCATTCCCGGGTTTCTCAAGCACAGAGTGTGCCAGCTAGTATTGAAGTTGCTGCAACGATAAAAATCCCCTTACCTCAGCTCATCCTTGACCAAAGAGTCTGCAATTATCATGGATCCAATTCAGTGTCCATTGATATTTTCCATTCATCATTCTTTAGCCCCGAATCATCTTTTCCATTATTTTATTCGTTACAAGAACATTGCGCAATGTAGGGATTCCAAATCAACCTAGTTTATTCCTTAACGTATTAAATTGCGAAATAAGTTAATTGATATTGAAGTAAAAAAATTGAGGGTATTTATAAATAAATTCAATCTATATTAATATAATATTTTTAATTTTATTACTATTAATTTATTTTTTTAATTATATTATTAATTTTTTTATTTTTTTATTTTCAAATTTATTATTATTCTTATTGTCATTCTTATTTATATCTTCAATCTTATTTTGTTTTTATTTTAATTATCATTTGTTACTTTTATTTTTAATATTAAATTCTTATATACTTTAATTCTTTATAAATCTTAATAATTATCAAATTAATATAATAAGATATAAAAAATATAGTAAATAATGAGCTAGCCTATTCTAAAATTAAGCTCATTAATAAATAAATCAAAGTATTAATAATTAATAAATTAATTTCGGAATCAACATAGTTTATTTCGAATTGAAAAATTTCGCTAATATGTCCTGTAACTTATCAATCGCATCTCGCGTAGTATTTGGCACATCCGAAAATTTCATAACCCCACAACTCTCACTCTCAACATGTTGTAACAAATTGCTTAACGACTTAAACTCGCTCGCACATCTCAGACCCAGACATATATACATATTCTGCTCATACACGTTGCTATTCAAATGACCATTCAATCCTGGCAGGGTATCAAATGTACATGAGCATATGGCGCATTCATAATGCAATCCATTCCAGGAATGTTCAGTGGCGATGCTAGTGCGAGAGGAGGAAGCATGATCGATTTCAGGAGTGGTGATTACGTGGTTACCATCTAGACGACGGACTTGCGCATTGATTATTTGGCGATTTATGCCAAAAGAGCAAGTACCGGATTCCAAGTGGGTGAGTAGGGCAGAGGCGGTTGGATAGTGAGTGGGACAGAAAAGGCATTGTATGGTGGATCCCTGGTGGTATATGGAATGTTGATGCTGAGAAAGTCGGATTTGATTTTATACTAAGTAGCACAGGATGCCAAATTTTGAAACACATCTGGCGTTCCTAGTATAACTTACCTGCATCAGGCTGTTTTCATTTCAAAACATTTGTTTGCATGGTCTGCAATAACGATGACCGTGTTGGGTGATATAGTGATCTTCTCGAAGCTCGCTAGACAAAAACCAAGTGTCGCAACCTTCGCATTCGAATTCAGGTTCTTCATCGCTTGAGGAGTATCCGTCTTTAGAATACTCAGCGCGGCTATGAGCAGAGTTATTCTGAATGTGTTGATAGTAGCCATTCTTGTCGTTGAAATACCGACCACAACGACTACAGAACGCCATATTGAGTAGGATTGAAATGTAATGAATAGAGAAAATCAGGGAATCAAAGGCTTTCTGTTCCTCTTAGAGTTGTGGAGTTGTCGAGACTGTGAGTTGTGTGAAGGAAGGTAGAATTTTAAAGGTAGAAGAGACCACAAAGGGTGTTTGGTATCAAAAGTTTAAAAGATGAAAGAATGATAAAGGAAGAGACTTAGCAAACTTGTAATCAGAATTAAATACCCCTCAATCTTTCCACAGAGAAGAACCTACCCATGTCCATAGACGGAAGAGAATATTCCCAGGACAGTCCAAAAGTCATCTCACGTAACTAGATTCATACAGTGGAATGATGGCGAGGATACTTGTATCTATGTTAGTCAAATGGAGAGGGAAAGTTTCATGTCTTAGCTTATTAAGTTCTCTTGATCTACTTAAACTCTTTTAAAAGCAATTCATTTATCAAGCCCTATAAATATAATATATACTATTATTCATCATATGAATTATATATTTTCAAGAAATAATTTATTGTTTATAATGTCTTGAATGATAATATAATAATTAATTCAGAATTATAAATTATAAGTCCAGTACCCTACTTTCGGACCTCCTTTTACACCAAAAATCGTGATTTTCAGTTATCAATAACTTCATAACCAATGAATACAATTTGATGAAATTTAAATGATAGATTTATTATATAATTTTCAATAAATTTCAAAGATTTCAGATTTTTTGTAATTTTATTGATTGAGAAATTGAAAGTTGAAATCATGATTTTCAATTTATACAAGATTTATATACAAATTTGAAAATCTTAAATAAATTTTCAACAAAAATTATTAAAAATAAATTATAAATCTTTTCCAAATATTTATATTATAATTGATGAAATAAATCAATCTATTTAAAAAAAAAATTAACTTGTGATTATTGTTTTATTAATCTTTATATAAAATTTTATATAAAATTTTATTTGAAAAAGTAATTTGTAATTATTGTTTTATTATCGATTGAATATTTATTTGTATAAATTGATTTATTTCATCAATTATAATATAAATACTTGAAAAAGATTTATAATTTATTTTTAATAATTTTTGTTGAAAAGTTATTTAAGATTTTCAAATTTTTTAAATTTGTATATAAATCCTATATAAATTGAAAATTGTAAAAAATCTGAAATTTTCAGAATCAATGATTAATTATAAAATAAATCTAAAATTAAAATTTCATTTGATTTAATTTATTAATTGTTGAAATATCAATAGTTGAAAATTACAATTTTTGATATAAAAGAGTGATCTGAAAAAAAGATGATTCAAAAGTAAAGTATTAGAATTATTAATTTTAAATTTTTATAAATATATTACTATTCAAATTTAGAATAACAAAATACGTCAAAAATTATATAAAATATATAAAAAAAATATTTATATATAATTATATTCAATTTAATAATAATCAAAAACAAATAATAAATTGAGTATTAAAACTGAAACTAATTAACAGACTGAAAATGATTAATTTATAAAAAGAATCTTTATTTCACAAATCTTAAAATTAAAAACAAAGATATATAATCTAATGATATATTAAATAATTATCCAAAACTAATCAAATAAAAATAATTATCCCACCCAATTTGTATTTTTATAGAATGACTACCTCTTTAAAAACTATTCAAATTTCAAAAAGTACTAAAAAGTATCTTCAAAACTACAATTATATATTACTTAAAAATTTTGATATCAATTAGTCAAAGTTTAAGGTTCTGGAATCTTGTGTCAATTCTGAAAACTATAAAAGTATCAAGACTTATCTTAAAGAACATTACAACTTCACATCTCATCATCAACAAGTTCTCCACTCCTCATTAGAGATCCCTCGAGAGATGACTAGCGATTTCTATAATACTTGATCAGAAAAACCTTTTTTATATAGTAATTATAGTACTCGTATATCAAAGTTAAACTCTTCAACTTCTCCAATAGCGCCAGGGTTCTAGAATAAAACTGTTTGTATCTTTTATTTACTCTCTAACAAATTTCCATTCAATACATCATCACCATCAATAACTAACCTAAAGTAACAACAAATTGCATATCAAAAACTACAAATAAATCCTCCCAAGCCACCTGTCCCTCCATCTCAACACAGAATCATATCCCAAAGATTATATATCTCCCTCTAATCGACCACAAATTAAGCAATACATACATCCACTCAATCCCAATCCCCAACCTCTGAAATAATTCAAACATCTACCTTCCAAGCCGCATCTACCCATCCATCCATCTAATGAATCTCCCCAGAAACCCCAAAAATCCTCCAGATCACTCCATCCAACTTCTTCCACATCCCTCATAAGTTATATACCTACCTGTATATCTCTACCTACCTACCTCTACAACCCCCTTAAATCCACTAATTAACTACAAACATATCTTATTATTACAAATCCTATCATCTCAGCACTCCTCAGCCTGAGATATATTCTAATAATTCAGGACATAGCCTATTACCTCAATCCCAATCCAATCCCAATCCCGATCCCGATCCCAAATTTATATTAACATAACACTACAGAAACCACACATACTAATTCTTACCAGGTTACCAGGTTTTCACCTATACCCAATATCCAATATCCAATATCCATAAGCCATATTCAATCCGCAGAGTCAGTCAACCCTATATTTTTTTCATCTCGCTGTTCAATTTCACACTTCACTTCATCTCCAAAGGAAACCTTCAGGTTTTGTCTGCAGGGTATTCATCAATACTCCCCCTTACACTCCTACCTCATATCCTTTTCAGCAAGAACAGAGCAGAACACAATATAACAAGAAAGATAAATATACATCAACACATTACTAATGGTATGAATAGAAATCCTTATATAATATATGTACTCCAGTTAAAGTTTGCTTATATATCTTTTCCTCCCTTTCCCTGTGTTCCATCCTTTGCATCCTCCCATCCATCCATCCAACCCTACCTAGCCCAGTCCATCCCTACTTCTCCATCAAACCTGTATTCTCAAACCTGTATTCTTAAATGACAGAATTCTCAAATTCTACATCTTGTCAAATTTATAACCATGCACGCTCCCGCTATCAAATATATCCCATGCATTATAATGACTTTCCGCTCCCACTCCCCATCCATCCATCCACACTTCAAAAGCGAAAAAAAAAAACGAAAAAGAAATAAAATCAACTCGCATAGGTAATAAAAATCTCAAATTGATAAAATAAAGACCTTGCATGCCATTCTGCGGATTCTGGAGAAAAGAAAAAAGGACAAAGGAAAAGGAAATAAATCTACTCGATTCTCTTTTTTCCCTCTTCAGCATTCGCGTATCGAGCTGTGCTTAATCCACGCTCATGTCTAGTCGTTAATAATCCTCCAACTACCTTGTCTTTGATGACGTTACTTATTGCTTCATTGTAGCCTTCTGTTGCCCAGGGACGGGGATTGAGTTTTGGCCAGTTGACCTGTGGAAAGGTTTGTTAGTAAATATGGGTGGTGGGTGCACGAAAATGGCACAGATAATGTGTAGAAGAGGAGAGGAATGAAGAAGGAAGGAAAAACGTACATATAGCATTCCATTGCGGTAAACGAAGCTAGCACACCATGCTCCTACCACCAGCCAAACAACGTTCCATAGTCTTAAAGGCAATACTGCGGCGTTAGGTAAACGAGGAGTGAAAAGTCCAACAAAAACGAAGAAGATACTGAAGGCAAGGATATAAGGGATGCTTTGGATGACTAATGGTCTTCTATCGGCAGTTATAAGGTGAGAATCGATATTTGCATTGCTGGGAAGGTAATAGCCTAAGAAGAGATCGAATGAATCCTGTTTGGGTCCATCTAGGAAATTATTTCTCGCATATCGAGTAATAGAATTTTGGAGATCTTGAAGAGCGCCGGCTTTAGTTCGAACACCTGTGCGTGTGAAGTCTGTTTTCAGAGCACCAGTTCCAGAGTAAGATTTTGAGACAACATCAGCGTTGTCCGCCCAAAGTTTGCGGAAAAGGACTTCAAATTGTGGGTCGGCTAACGTGAAGTTCTCCCCAAGGGTGAGAACACCGAGATCTATTAATTGGCGATTAAGAGTCCAGCGTCCAAGCATACTTTGGACAACATTTGTTCTGTCAAGGCAATCCATGCAATTCGTACGGACAACACTGGTTTGGTGATTGCGAACTTCGAGACGGCCATAAATATCGGCTGGCATGTCAACACCACGGAAATATTGTTGCGTCTCAAGAGCAGTACCAAGTTGATCAAGCAGTAATTGTGCTCGGTGCCATTTTAACCCTTTGGTTTCGTTGTGGAAATCGAAGTATATGTAATGCAGTCTGTCCATCACCTGTCTTTTTCCTCTGGGTTCAACCACTCGGAATTTCTCATCTGTAATTTTATCGCTTTGTCTTCCTTCGACTGGCGCCGAAACCAGAATCTTTACCATCTGCTCATATGCTTCTTTCACCCGTTGCTCTCGCCCCTTCTGATTCACCAAATTTACCAAGTAATTGTCTCCATAAACTCGGATTTGCTCGTCGAAATGTGCCCTGGCGGCAGGAACAGCTGTTTCTACTCCTCGAATTTGAAGTTTTGGTGTGTAATGCAAAGTGTTTATTTCAGCCCAATATACCGGAACACTTCCTCTGGTCTGTACGTATGACAATACCTGTACCTCCTTGCCGCCTGACCCTCTAACTTTGCCGTTCTGCATTCCAGCGCCTCCAGCGAAACCACCAAACCCACTGGTATTATCATTCAGGATGATGATTTGTTCAGTTTCATTGAAGTTCGAAACGTGCCCTTCCTCATCCACTCCCCGAGAAAAGTATCTAGTTCCAGCTCGATACCTGGATCTTCGAGTAATCAATACAAATGTTAATGGAGTGGTCTTGACTTGAGTCTGAACAATTTCAAGCATTCCAAACATAACCGGTAAGATATATGGATCCACCCTTGGTTGCTGTCCATGTTGATGTCTAGACCCTGATGTTCGGAAATCTATTAAATCTGATTGAACAAATTTATTCCAGAAAAATCGATCATCGGCTCTTTTCCAAAGAGGAGCAGATGGATCGATTTGTGATTGCCTTTGGAAAGTGTTGGTAATGTCGGTGGAATAGGAAAAGTACATCGGTCCAGACTTGATGAAAATCTTGAGGAGATTAAGGTAGGTATCCTCATCTTGGTCTCGAAGCACTCGTTCTCGAAGAGGTAGAAATTTCGTTGCGATAACTTTGTATACCATATGACCCTTCAACCTTCCCATAGGCTCTGCCTTTGTAATCACAATAATGTACTTATCTAGGAAGAAATTAGTCCAAACTTCCGAGTAATGAATGTACTGTTGTTAAATACCTAGCCTTAGTTTGATTATGCCCAAAATGCCAGCAATACTGGAGACGCGTTTTCCTCCCAAAAGTAGTCCATCACTGAGTCGTAAATCTCCTGTTGGCCGATCAACTACAAGTGTTGGTGCTGCGGGTGACGACGGTGATGTGAATGCGTAATGCGATGTCGAGGCATGAACATTGATATCCCTAAAGGGCAAAGAACTAGCCATTTTGTTATCTGTTCCGCAGACAGGATAAGATGTATCGTAGCTTCGCAGTTTTCCAGTTTTCAGTTCTCTAGCTCTCCGATTCTCGAGTTCTCCAGTACTCAAAAATCAAAGAATCTCCTTTGGAAGCGTGTACAAACAAGCAAGCAAGCTACAACCAATCTATAAATTCAGCCAAGCCTGGTATAGCTGTTCTCTAAAACCAAGCTCGGAACCTCGCCAACACCCAAAATCAAACTTTGTGGATACACCCTAGAAGCACCCCTCGATGATTACTAGCTAGCCTCTTTCGGTTTTGTTCCAGATCAATATCAAAAGTTTCAATAGGGACTTTTGATGGCGATGCTCTGTACATTCTTCCATGAGGAGTTGCTGTATGTATGAGATAAGACATTGTAAAAGAGATTTGTAATATAAAATAGTCAAACATATTAATTAAATGTATATTTATTCGAGAAGAAATGTTATTGTAGTCTTAGCTTTGGAAGATTCCACGGCCAAGTCATTGATTCATTATAAGTAGCAATTCAGTTCCAATTCAGTTCCAATTCAAGTGTGCTTCTAGCCATTGATGATGAATTTTGATAGATTAACCCTCAAAGAAACATTACATCTAAATATGTTCCACGTGATTGTCCCAGTAATCCAAGCGATTCAGGATCATCGTCACTTTCCAGGTTGAGCCGTTGCCGTTTCTCCAGATCAAGATAACATTTAACTTTACCTCCGACATTTCCACCTTCCTCCTACCAACTAAATTCGCCAAAGTACTATACAACCATATACAACTTGTTCGACAATACATTTCACTTCATCAGATTTCATCCACATTCCAACATGGCTGCTCGAGGTCCACCAGGCTCCCGCGCCGGAAACTCACGATTCGCGCAGTTTAAATTGGTGCTACTTGGTAGGTGGTTCCATGTGGACCTGATATATTTCATTAGATTGTCTGCTAACATTGTACGATAGGGGAATCTGCCGTCGGAAAGGTATGAGCTCGCTGTTTGCTGGATATATTTTACGTACTGACATTGGGAATAGAGCTCCTTGGTTTTACGATTCGTTAAGGTATTCATCACCACTCCTAAGCAAGAAGAATGTTTCAAACTGACCTTGACACCAGGATCAATTCGATGATTGTAGGTGGCTTCCAACAAATCTCGTTCTTATACCAGATGCCTAGGCACACTTCGAGCAAGGATTGGGAATGGACAAAGAGCACACCGCTGACTTCACGACAGACCGCGAGAGTACCATCGGCGCAGCTTTCTTAACTCAAACGATTTCCCTCGATGAAAATACCACAGTCAAATTCGAAATATGGGATACTGCAGGTCAAGAGAGATACAAGTCACTGGCACCCATGTATTACCGAAATGCCAACTGTGCTGTTGTTGTTTATGATATTACACAGGCTGTAAGCTTCTCTACTTCTGGATAACATAGTACCCACTAACATGTGGTAGTCCTCATTGGATAAGGCCAAATCTTGGGTGAAAGAACTTCAACGACAAGCAAACGAGAACATCATTATCGCTTTGGCCGGAAACAAACTCGATTTAGTCACGGAACAACCGGATAAACGTGCTATTACCACCGAAGATGCATCAAATTACGCGAGGGAAGCCGGATTGTTATTCTTCGAAACTTCCGCCAAAACCTCTGAAAACGTGAGAGAATTGTTCACGGCCATTGCAAAGAAACTGCCTTTAGATCAAGCTGGTCCAAGAAATCCAAGAGCTGGTGGCCCACGAGGAACAGGTGTTGATCTCAGACCCGAAGCGCCAGGAACACAAGCAGGCCCTGGATGTGGTTGTTAAAGAAACTTTGTGATGACTATGCGGTGGAGTATGGGACATATTGGGTGGAAAGAACCTTTGATACCAAGAATAAGCTATTGTCGGGGCTTTCCACAAATGATGTTCCTTTTCGAACAAGATTGCTTGGTTGAATGTAGCATACATGTGGCCACTTCAACATTTTACGAGAGCAATCGTTTTAATACCTTGATGTCTCTGTTTTCTCGTAGGAAGGGGTTTGATTTGCAGCAGATTTTCTGCTTGCCAGGCGTGAGAGGGTTTCTTCTTTTTTTTTTGATGAATTAGTTCTTTCAGCATTTGGGATGTATGATATGCAATAGAACCACATGCATTTAACGATTTTACAATGCACAAGACTTGTGGAGAATGATCATCATAGGGATTGTTGCAATACATGAGTTTATATTATCATTTCATTAATGAATGTTATTTTAAATTTGATATGAAAAACCAATTCGAGAATATAAAAATTATAAAAATTATTTTGATAATATTTTGTAGCCTTGCACATTTGGCTGATCGAATTTCAACCCTGGGATTTTCTATATCATCAGCCAAAAAAGTAATGTGGTCCGAGCTTTTCCTGGGAACTTGAAAGTGTTTTTATCCCCAACAGTATAATTGGCAGAAGAGTACGCGCAGTTTTTAACATCACCAACCTCAAATATAACCCGTCCCTCCACGCAGCCTGTCATGCTGCGAGCTGGTCTTCGATCTTCGAGGGCGTTGGGTCTCAGACCCAACGTTGTCAGTCCTGGACGTCAATGGAGAGCACAAAATGCCCGGGTGATTTCGGATACTATGGTATGGAGCTTCAAGATATCCTATTTCGGACAATTGATTGGTGTAATGAATGCTGATAGCTGTTGGGTTTTCAGAGAAGCTATGCCGATAAATCAAGTATATCAGATTCGAGGCCTCCAGTACTCCCTGGATCTGCCAGCGCGGCTACATCCGAACCACTCCCACCTGGAGCTGTAGCAACTCCAAATTCAGCTGCTCCAACCCCAGCAACTCCAACCTCTTCCACAATTCCTGCAGAAAATGTCCCTCTTACGCCCCCGCCTCCAGGACCAACCCCTCCATCTTCGAGCCCACCACCTCCCGCGCCAAAGCCAAAGAGACGCTTCTTCCGCAAATTCTTTACAACGTTATTTCTGTTGACTACGTTGGGCTTTGGTGGAGGGGTTTACTATTCCCGGATCAATGATAACTTCCATGACTTCTTCACGGAATATGTACCTTTTGGAGAGGATGCGGTTCTTTACTTTGAGGAACAGGAATTCCGAAAACGTTTCCCTTTGATTTCAAGTCGAGCTTCAAGGCCTCCTAGAGATACTGGTGAACAGGTTAAAATTCCAAGCCAAAGTGGTGTATCATGGAGGGTTGCAAATGAAAACAAGGACTCTACCGGACGACACACTAGTTCGGCGAAGGACAAGGCAAAGCCATCAGAAGCCGTTCAAACACCACATGATTCAAAACCAGCCGATAGAGTCAAGGTAGTTGAGCAAGTAAAGAGTGGAAATTCTCCAGTAAAGAACTCCCCAGCTCCATCAGCTAATCCAGAACCTAAGCCAAGCAACGTTCAAAAGGATCCAGAAGTCAATGAGCCATCCAGAGCATACAAGAAAATTGAGCGAATTGACCCCATTAACATTCCTAACGGAAACGAGCCTGTGGTCCAGGAATTGGTTAAGATTATGAACGATATCATTGCGGTTGTCAATGCCGACAATGCAAATGCTAGATTCACATCTACTATGGACAAGGCAAAGGCAGAATTGAACAGAGTCGGAGCCAAGATATTGGCTATGAAGGATGCAGCTTTGAAGGAAGCTGACGAGAAGATCAAATCTTCCGATGCGGAATTTGATCGGGCTGCTATGCAACTCTTGCAAAACTTCAAAAATCAACAAGCAGAGCAAGAAGCTCAATTCAGAGCTGAATATGAAGCCGAACGCAAGAGGATTCATGAGAACTATGAGCAAAAGCTCAAGTCGGAGCTTGATCGCGCAAATGAGGTGAATGAGAAAACACTCCGGAACAATTTGGCAGAACAAGCTCTTGAACTTAAACGTGCATTTTTGGCTGATGTCAAGAACCGTGTTGAAGAAGAACGAGAAGGCCGCCTTGGCAAGCTTTCTGAGCTAACTAACACCGTTAATGACCTCGAGAAGCTTACTGGTGACTTCAACACCGTCGTGGACCAAAACCTCAAGACTCAACATCTTCATGTTGCTGTCGAAGCTGTCCGGGCTAACCTTGAGAAGTCTCAAATCCCACGACCCTTCACAAGAGAACTTGCTGCCCTGAAGGAAATTGCGTCTGATGACCCAGTTGTCAATGCTGCAATCGCATCTATCAATCCAGTCGCTTACCAAAAGGGTGTTCCCAGCTCAGCTGCGCTCATCGATCGTTTCCGTCGTGTCGCATCTCAAGTTCGCAAAGCTTCATTGTTACCTGAGGAGGCGGGTGTCGCCAGTCACGCTTCAAGTTACGTATTGAGCAAGCTTCTTTTTAAGAAGAAGGGTTTGGCAACCGGTGATGATGTAGAGAGTATCTTGACTCGGACGGAGACTTACCTTGAAGAGGGTGATCTGGATGGTGCAGCTAGAGAAATGAATGGATTGAAGGGGTGGGCAAAGACTTTAAGTAAGGATTGGTTGGGCGAGGTTAGAAAGGTTCTTGAGGTTCAGCAGGCTCTTGATGTAAGGTTTTCTTTTCCGTCACCTTCACGTTCATACAACGTTACAATTACTAACAACTCGCAGGTAATTGCAACAGAAGCAAGATTACAAAGTTTGAGAGTCGAATAGAGAAATAACAAAATTGATTTCTATTACCTCTGTACATGAAATTCAATGGTGGCGAAAAGACAAGATTACCACGTACTTGTTGGTGGAGAGATCAGTCGGTCATTAATTTAGACTGTTTGTAGAAGTACGGATAGTAAAATTAGAATATATGTACTTTATTACCACTGATCGTCTGGTATTGAACCAATTTATTGCCTCTGTGTGAGATGGAGGGTGGGTTTGAATCATCGGATGGTGCCAAATTGAGTCGGTGAAAACGGAGAAAGCAGCGAGTGCTAGTTGTTAAGATATCTATTTAATGCCCTTTCCTCTGAGTTTGTCTTGGGATGTCAAGTTCAAAGTAAGATGACATCCATATGAGTTGATGCATCTTGTCTGTCTCAGCCATAGAAGTGGCGGGTGGCACGTGATCTAAACTCGAGATACCAACCTGGAAGAACATCGTTTCCGCCAAACTCTCCTCTCGACAAAAATGATCGACAACTTCTCATCAATTGCACAAACTTAAACATGGCGACAATGTGATGAGTCAACAAACCATGGTTAGACTACATATTTGAAGCTCTGATTTACTTGGATGCGCATCAAGATTAAACCAAAGAGAAGTTGTGTTGTTGTCTGTGTTGCATCCATCTTGGCACCGGAGATGTGACTCAGGCCGATCGAGTCGAGTGGAGATTCGGAAAGCGGCAACCGACCCTTGAACATGAGCTCAAGGGGGAGGTTCTCGGTACTTTTCTATCGAACCTCCTGCATATTGATTATTTAATGGCGATATCCTCAATCCTGAATTGCCTGCCATTGAATTCAGGTTCACTACTCTGCTACGTCCAATTGTTACTTTTGCTTCATCCATTTCTTCACTTGAATCTTTTTTACTCTTTGCTGGACATTCCGTGTATTTGAGTGCAATTCGAGCAGAAAAGGAAAAATGACGTCTCAAGGAGAATCAGCAACCACGATCTTGTGCTCGTGTAAACAAACAAGATTTCATATCGAGAATCCAGTTTACCAAGAGGTAGTTACACCATTCCCTCCCTCGCGACGCATTACTCCAACATCATTTCATTATGAAAATAATTCTGATAAATAAATATCACAGCTTGATATTGAAGGATTAAACATCACGGTTACTCCATCGCTTAAATCTGCTGTGAAACCAAAAGGAAAATCTAAAGCAGAAGGTCTTGAGATTTTATCCAATGCAAGTTTAAAACTTAAGGCTGGAATATGTTATGCGCTGATTGGAAGAAATGGCACGGGAAAATCGAGTATGTCCCCTCCATCCTACATCAAGTCAAAAAGTGAGAACTAACGATATAAAGCGTTGTTGAAGGCCATTGCGGAGAAACTAATTCCAGGAATTCCTGTACAGACCAGAATTTCCATCTTGCAACAAACAGATGCAGATTCAAAGGAGAGCGATGAAGAGAGTAGTAGTGGAAATGCTGTATCTGACGAGAAAAGGGGAAGTAAAATGTCAGTTTTGGAAGAAGTTATTGACCGGGCTACTTCAAGAAGTGAAATTCAACATGAAGTTGATAGTATGTCTTAGCACTTCAATTGTTGATTGATCATTATTGACAAAGACCACAGTATTGTCCAAAGCTGTAGATAACCAAGAAGATGCATTGACACCTATCCGAGCTTTGCGGCAAGTACAGCATGAAAGGTTGAAGAGAGAGTTATTCGACAAAGACAAGGATGCTAGGCTCAGGAGTGGAACACGTGGTATGGCAGCACGAAAGGCATTGCTTGCGTTTGAGAAGACGGTTGCAAATTCTGAGGAACGGTAAGTGTTGGTGGTACGAGTTAGCGCATGAGTTCTAATTTAATATCAGTATCAATCAGAAAAACGATGAGATTGATGAAAGTACAATCAAGGAGGAAACAGATCTAGCAGCGGAACTTCTTGCAGAGTTGCAACTACAGCTTGAACGTACTCGACTTGCCGATATCGAGACCAAAGCACGAAATATACTCGCCGGTTTGGGATTTCCCAAAGCAAATCTCGATAAACCGGTCAATACCCTTTCCGGTGGATGGAGAATGCGTACAAATCTCGCATCTATACTTCTTCAACCAACTGATATCCTAATCCTTGATGAACCCACGAACTTCCTCGATCTCCTCGGAATAATTTGGCTACAAAAATATATTGAAACACTCAAAGATTCCACCCCCAGTCCCCCTACCATCGTAATTGTCTCTCACGATCGTGATTTTATCACCGCCACATCTCAAGAACTTATCATCCTCCAGACCCAGACCCTCGCTTATTTCCGCGGTTCCCTCTCCACATATGAATCTACTATTCGCGAAAAAGCCCTCTACCTAACCCGTATGCGCGATGCTCAGGAAAAGCAAAAATCCCACATTCAACAAACGATTCAACAAAATATCAAACAAGGAAAAGCAAGCGGCGATGAAAATAAACTTCGTCAAGCTAAATCCCGACAAAAGAAATTGGATAATAGGATGGGCATAGAAGTTAGTGCCAAAGGAACAAGATTCAAACTTAATCGTGATCTAGCTGGTTATCACTTAAAATCTAGAGCAGATATCGAGATTCCGCCTGAGGAGAGAGGTATTTCCATGGTAATTCCTCTGGCTCCTGATTTGCGATTTCCTGGACCTTTAATCTCTTTGGAGAATATCTCATTTCGATATCCTGCTACTGGATCTTCGAAAACGAATACGGCCGCTACCGCCACTGCCGCACCGTTCATTCTAGAGAATGTAAATCTAACAATCCACATGGGTGATCGAATCGGCATCGTAGGATTAAACGGAAGTGGAAAATCCACACTCCTTTCCCTACTAACCGAAACAGCAAAACCCACCAAAGGAACCGTAACCAAACATCCACGATTAAGACTAGCCTACTACTCTCAACACTCCGTCGAAGATCTCCAAATCCTCTCACACGGCACCCCAGAACTAACAGCCCTCTCCCTCCTGACAGCCGATATATCTAATCTCCTCAACGAGCAACAAATCCGCAGTGTCCTCGGCGGCTTAGGCTTACAAGGACGAATCGTCTCCGATGTCCCCATTGCCAAACTGTCAGGTGGTCAACTTGTACGATTGGCATTAGCAAGATTAGTGTGGAGGGAACCGCAATTATTGGTTTTGGATGAGGTGACTACGCATTTGGATTTTTGGACTGTGAGGGCGGTGGGGGAGGTGATGAGGGAGTGGAATGGTGGGGTTGTGGTGGTTAGTCATGATCGATGGTTGGTGAGGAAAGTTGTGGAGGGGTGGAGGGAGGGGGAAGAGGAGGAGGGAAATGAGGATGAGGATGAGGAGGTTGAGGAACAGAGGAGGAGATTAGTTTATGTGGTTAAAGGTGGTGGGGTGAAGGTATTGGAGGGTGGTGTGGCCGAGTTTGAGAGGAGTTTGGAGAAGAGGGTTGATAAGTTAATGAAATGATTAGATGGCATTTCATATCAAATAGTCACGACCAAATTACGTGATGAGTTTAAGTCCATTCCCACCTTTCGCACCTCAACCGAGGATTTCCATTACTGGACTGCAGTCCCAATTTAAACATCTAAAAGACCGTGTTTAGAAAGCCATGAAAATCTGAGAACGGTTCCCTTCTTCACTTGCATGTATTGTTTTAAATAGCTTTGATATATGGATCCACTGCAAGACATATGGATCAACTGCAAGACGCAGATCTTCTGATCGTTGGACTGCAATCCGAAGTTACACTATCCAGCGTTCATCCACCAGCATCCAACCTCCAAAGTCCGAACCACAAAAAACACTACCCCATTCAATCAGCCCAAGTCCCAAGTCGCCTTCCCCGCCCCATCAAAAGATCTAAGTCCTCACACCTCACAAGTCTCGCCTCATCACACACCACCCAAGGAATCAGAGAAACTCACTCACAGTTAAGAACATTTCACTCTCACACAAACTGATAGTAATATTCTTCTGGTATAAATGCTTTATGCTTTTTGGTTAAACTTGCTTTTTCAAGCAGGCTGCTTTCGAATCGCTGTCCCCGAATATATGTATACATGTATCCGAATGTTGTTTTTCGAAAGCGGGGGTTGTTGGGTTCTTTTTTTGGTTGTCGTTGATGACTTTTTGGGGTTTTTGGTTAAACTTGCATGAACTGAAACTTTTAAAGTGGAAATTTGATAATCATTATTCATGACTCGTACTTCATGGCTCAATAACTTGGAAATTCAAACTCTTGGTAAATCGAACTCTTGTCGTGATATTCATATGCAAGGGTTTTCCATATGAACATATCGGGTCGCGACTCCGACAGGTTTCTTCCTAACTCGTGTTCGCATTCGAGAGCTTATGCTGTGCGATCTTGAGTAGCTTAGCCTGCGTCGAATGTTGAGTCTAGGTGGAAAATATGATTGTCGACTTGTGCACGTGCTGAATGCGTAGAGACGGTATATTGTCGTACCAAATGTATCTTTCCCAAGGTGGAACATGTGAGTGTGGTATCAAATTACTCCTTTCGACATAATAATAAATGAGTGAGAGTGTTTTTCTTGGTCTGTATCTGGGGGTTTTATTAGTATTTTCTTGGGAATTCTTGAAATTTTGGGTTGATGCTTTGACTGTGAGACTAAGGTGAGGACTTTTGATGGATTTGTTTGTTGAGTGAGGGTATCGAGTGTTATGTATGAGGTGCTGGTCGATGGGGATGAGGAAGGAGCGTCGGTGTTGTGGGTGAGGAGAGGTGAAGGAAGGAAGGAGTGAGAGGTGAAGGTGGATGTTGGGATTTGAGTTGTCAGATGGTGATCCCGTGATTGTCATGAAAATATGATGTAGTGAGAGCGAATACCTTCCTGTTTGTCCAAGTATCTTGTATAGTGAGTGACTGTGCTTACCTTCATTTCGTTGACTTTGTTGTTAGACCACCTTCTGAGCAGCGAATTTAAACAACAAATAGTCCAAAAATGACCAGGTATTCAGCGGCGACTAGAATGGAAGACAAGGCTCTTCTTTTGAATGACCGGTTTACTAAATAAATCAAATATTAGCAACTGCAACTCCGTCACTAATCGAATTTCCTGATATCTTGAGTTTACATACTGTGATTATGGAGAAGATCACCTTTTCTCTCCCTTTTATAATCTCAAAACTCCTACTCACTTCTCGCTTCCACCTCCTCATTGTCAATTAATCTCAACTTTTAAGTAGAGGAAAAAATAAAACCTAAAAAGATAATACTCGGTTCTCATAGCCCACAAGTCTGTTACTGTTCATGTTGAATGAAGGAAGGTAACTCACCATTACGAAACCCGAGCCTTTTCATGTCTATCAGTGTGCCTGGTTGTGCTTGTACCTGTTGTACAGTTGACTTCTTGGTGTGCGTTTTCCGCTTTTTGTTGCTTTCGCTGGCTGGGTTGTTTGTTTGCCTGTGTTGCTTCTTGTATGCCAGATTGAGTTTGTAGATTTGTTAAAACACCTTTCGGCGTGCGTGTAGGATTAGCTGCTGCCACCTATATCCAGTACCTGATGTACTATTGATCCGTTGTACCAGTTGAGATTTCCCGAAAGAGGATATGATAAGTGGTTTGCCAGTTGATGTACGAGAATTCTATAATTGATTGTTAGCATATTTGAATGGAAGTGACCGATTAGACCATTGAGCTATGGGAGCTATGAGAACTTTGAGAGTTTTTCATTTATTGTTCTTCGTGCGGCGCTATCTTTGATTATGTTGATGTTTATTTACATGGCGGTGAAGCGAATAAGAGGGTGGGAGATGAAAGTCAGGAATAGATGGGAGGAGAGTGTGCTGTGGTGTCTTTATTTGCTATTTCACTTTGCTTTTCTACTCTTTGATCAACACTAAACACTCGTCAGTACTTATTTGTTTCTCCCACCTCTTGGAATACTGTGTGATGTAAGTGTCTGGATCGTTGGAAGTCAATGACCTAGCTGTGATTCATCCGAAGTCATCTCTTCCTCTATGATCTGATGTTTTGACTATACTTCATTACATACAGATGAAGATGTCATATCCAATACTGAAAATAATTTAGAACACATACGCCAATTGTTTGATTATATAAAACCGTAATATCGTTATTGATCACCTTAGAGATTTATTGTTCAGTGTTGGCTGTACACAATCCGAAAGTAAAATGTATAAAAATTCCATGTCCAGCAAGAAATTATTAACCTCACAATGTACACTCCATCGATAAAATGAATCACAATTTGGACAATCAACATTCCATAGCAATCACACATTCTATCCAAGCCCTCAAACATAAATACTCATTTATCCCCTCCTTACCTAATTAAATTTACACATCCACAGTCCTCAACTAATCTACCAACCCAAGAATCCAAACGCACAATGTGCAACCTCTGTCGACGAATCGAAACCATAAAAACCATCGAATCCATCCTCCTGAAACCCCTCATCAGCATCCTCTGCAAATTCCACGAAAAATCAGAACCAGGACTCGGAGATGTCCTAATATGGCGCGAGGCGCGCATAAATGCCATCCAAAAGCGTCTACTTCCCCTACAAATTGGACCTTTAAAATATCTCATAAGAGCCATTATAGCCGATTTAGAGTCCGAGTTGGCAAAAATACAAATTAAAAAGATGGACCATCCAGCCATGTGGAGTGTAGGAAAGTTGAATAGTTTGAAGGAAAATATTCGGCCTGATGAGAGCTCGAGTATTAGGGCGTGGAAGACTAATAGAGCTGAGGAAGCTAGAGTTGCGAAAAGTACTGTAGCTCCTCAGAGTATTACTCGGACGCAGGATCATATGGAACAGGATCTTTTGGTGGATGATTTGTTTCCGCATCCCGATAATCTTCAATGGTCTACGCAGCTTGTCGATGAATGGTTTGCCAAGAATAGTGATGTTTGGTTAAGCGAGGGGGCTTCTGGAGAGTATGTTAGGAAGTATGGTATAGGTTCGAGATGAGACTAAAGGAATTTTTTAGAGTGAATTGGATGAGTCTATGGATATAGCATACAATTTAACTTAATGAAATGCATAATTTTGTTTCATAAGCTAGAGAGAGGTAAATTTTTAAGTCTAACCTTTGGAGATGTTAAAGTCGGGCTATGTAATGGTGAGAAAAATACATATTGAGTAGATATGATAACGAATTTCTAAAAGTGAGTCATCCTGAGTTCAGAAAGTAAGACGTTCGTTAATCAAAATCTTATCTAAGATCATCTATGCAGCAAAGCCATTTTTGCTTGAGCTAGAAGTAGTGTACGAGTAAAGCATGCAGAAAGCTGCAGCTAATTAACCTAGCATCTCTCTCTCAATTTCTTAAAACCCTATCGTCAAGAACCAATGGTAACTCTGAATATTGAAAACACATGTGCATTAAAATCATTCCCAAGACATGTAATACCTACATAGCAGAATACATAATGACATATCACACCAAGTATCTCAACAAATATATATAAATGAACATTTGATCTGCTAAATATATCATAAATACACTCGCCCTGAGAATACCCCCTCTATCTATCTATCCTACACAAATCTCATTATCATAACACAAATATCTAAACCAAAAACACCAAACCAATCATAAACAACCCAGTCCACACACCCATCTTCTCAAACATTCTCCCCGCACCACCCTCGAACGTAACAGCAGAAGGAGCGGGGCTCGTTACCGCTGATTGCGTTTTCGAAATTCCACTTCCACTCTTCGTACTCTCTCCTTCTGCTTTAACGATATAGGAACTAGGTATAGGCACAAAAGTAATACTAACAGAAGATGCAGTAGTAATCAAAGTTACAGATACCGCCAAAGTACCGTTACCAGCACCATAAGGAGGCGCAATGCTGCTGTATGCTGGAACAGAAGTCGTCGGTGCTATTGGAACGGGAATGACAGTGATGGTGGATGGAACAATGACAGCGGAGATGGTTGTAGTTTGGGAGTTAATTAGGGTGGAGATTTGGGTTGTGTAGAGGTATGATAGGGAGACTTCAGGAGTGGCAGCTGGTGATGATTCATCAGCGATTGAAGAGGCACTGACTATGGGTAAGGAAGTCACAATTCCAGTGGCGCTGGATCCTGAAGCGGGGGTTGCTGATGATACACCGGCTACAGATGACGTTCCAACAACTGGAATCAAAGTTTCGATTCTAGCAGCGGAAGAAGCTCGCGATGTAGGAACACTAACAGGAGCGCTAGAAAGGGTAATCGTGTACACAGGTGTGTATGATGAAATAGTCTCAGTTGTCACTTGACCCGATCTAGCCGGACAATCCGTCACACTTGGTGCACATGAAGTGATAGTATAAACGGATTTCTGATAAACCGTTGAAGTTCCGTACGAAGTAAATGCTGTCGTTTGAGTTGGTACTATAGCCGAAGAAGTTGAGCTAACAACACCACTATTTCCACTGGTCTCTGTTACAGGACAAATGGTAGTGTAAGAGTAGATTGTCTCGGTGGTTACGGAACCAATTCTTGCTGGACAGTCAGTAACTGTTGCTGCGCATGATTTGATTGTGTAGACGGAGGTGACATAGGCTGTGGAAGTGGTGTATTGAACAACCGAAGTGATTGGTGATATAGCAAGTCCTTGGGTTGAAGATAATGATACTGAAGATGTTGGAGGTTCCTGTGCCGATGAAGCTGGTGTTGGCGAAAGACTAAGTCCCTGTGCTGAAGATTGTAACGACACAGAAACTCCCTCAGCAGAAGATGTGGCAGTAGCAGTGACCAGGCAGATAGTGGTGTGTGATGAAATCGTTTCGGTCGTTACGGAACCAATTCTTGCCGGACAATCAGTCACAGTTGCGGCACAAGAGGTAACCGTATAAACTGTGGTAAAATAAGCTGTCGAGGTAGTGTATTGAACAACTGAAGTAATTGAGCTGGATCCTGATGGAACAGATCCGCTTGTGGATAAAGAACTAGTTTCTGACGGTAAAGATCCACTGCTTGTAATCGATCCCGATGATATTCCACCGACGCCAGTACTCGACGATCCGACTTTAGTTGATTCGGTTGGAATATATCCGGTCTTGCTGGCACTACCTGACGATACAGCAACTCCTCCCGCGGAAGTTGTGGAGCTTGAAGCTGGGCTAGTACTGGATTGACTGTAAGTACTATTTCCATATGGTGCAGTAGTTGGGATGATGATGGAGGAACTAGCGGACCCTGATAGGCCAGAAGATGAGGTCTTTGTCCTGGTCTTGGTTCTACCCTTGCAAGATTTCACTCCACTTCCCAGAGACTTGGTAGGGCGTAGTTTGCTAGATGCCCCAGTACCTGTCACGACAGACTTAGTGGAATATGGTTTAGTCGAGTAGACACCACTGATAGTTTTGTTAAATGAGTATGGTGGGACAGTATAACCAGAGGATGGTTCAGGCGAATGAGAATTTGAACTAATGCTTGTAGTGACACTGTTCGATGTAGAGGAAAGACTTTGCGAAGGGGTCAAAGTGGATGTTGCATTTTGAGAATAGCCCGGAACTGAATAACCGGATGATGCCTGAGTTGGGGAAGCCGATGCGGAGGAAACTGTCAAAGAAATCAACAAACCTGAAGCACTTGACGATTGTGCAGTAGAAGATTCTGATGCAGAGGAAACTGTCGAAGAAATCAATGACCTCGAAGCAGAAGATTCTGATGATGAAAAAGATTGGACGGTAGATGTCGATGCAGCTGATGTCAAAGTAGATGAAAAAGTGATTGAAGCTTCCAGTGAAGTGGAGGATGCCGCAGCAGATGATTGTGACGAATAAGTTGATGAAGTCGAAGAAGCTGCGGCAGAAGATTCCGAAATCGAAATCGGAATCGAAGCAGATGAGATCAAAATCAAAGTACTGCTCGCGGAAGCAGATGATTCAATCGACAAAGTTGCACTAGAAGTGATAGAAGCTTCTGATGTGGAGCTGGAACTACTAGCAATCTCACTGGATACCACGGAGGATATCGAGGTCGGTGGGGGAGGTGCATAAGGAGACAAACAAGATTTAATGAATCCATGGTAAGTATCTCCATTAAGTTCTGCATCCGTGTTCTCTTGGGAATACGTCGCTTCCCAAATCATGACACCTCCAAATTGAGGCTTGTCATGATAGGACTCAATCAAAGTCCGAGCCTCGAGTGGAGAAATGTAGTCAGTTGCGGTTCCTGCTAAAGGAGAGCCGAGGACACCAATGTAGATTGAAGCACCAGAACTTGCGCCACTATTTACAGTCGCAATCCATTCATCGTATGTGAATTCCTCGGATTCTTTTTGTCCTGTAATAGCATAATTTTCGGTCCACTGACGAGCTGTGCATTGAGCTTGACCGTTGTTATAGAATTGAATCCACAAAAGATCAAATTTCGCACTAGCAATCATGGTTCCCATATTTGGTTCGGGTAAAGGACACTGTGGAGCTCCTGAAATGAAATATTTCTTTGAAGGGTTTTCGGCGAAATGCTCTCGGAGTCTGTTGATCATTGCAATGTAACCTTCGGATGAATCTATTTGATGTTAGTGTTGATTAATACCTACGTTTCAACAGTCTGACTTACCAGTAGAAGCGATCTCTATATCGAAATCAAATCCATCAATATCGATATGAATATTGGGATCGGTGCCATAGTAACCCCCATCCATTGGTCTAATTCCACCATTATCCAGCCATGATTGCTTGAAAGGTCCATAGCTTCCCCACAAGAAATCGGCAAAGTATTCTCCGTCAGCTACGCCTGTGAGTTGATAGGTGTTCGAAGCTCCTCCAAGAGAAAGTAATATCTTTTTTCCTAACGATTGACAGTATGGGATTCCCTCTTGAATGCCCGGACATTGTACGTAGAGTTGATCTTTCGACGTATCGACATCTTCTAATGGATAACCTGGGCCTGGTGTAAAGATTGGTTGACCATAGCAAGCGTTACCAAAGTTCTCCGCTGGATAACCATCACCTTGTGCAGGGAATACATTCATGAAAGCTAATGGAATGATGTCAATTGTAGATTGCTCGCAATAATATGAAAGATTTGTTTGAGATGGCCCGGAACCCTATGCCATGGTCAGTAATAATCTTTTGATCTAATCATGAGACCTACCCAATACAAGGCCAAATTTGCTGGTGATGATGCATCGTAGAGTGCGACAGAAGGGCCTATTAGTGAAAACGCAGCCGCAGCCACAGTAAAGGATTTTGATGAGTACATTATAATTAAGGATATAAACAAAAATGAATGAATGTGGAGTGGCCGAAGCAGGTAAAGATTGTGATGGAATTGGTGTGATTGTCAAAGACAGGACGCAAACAAATGTTTGCACGGCACGAATGTCACCGTTGAATGAAAGGCTTGATGTTGAGATTCGAAAAAAGAGAGGGAGATGAGAGAAAGAAAAGAGAGAAGAAAATGGTATTGAACAAGGATGGGCGCCGGCTCTCCCAACTCATCATTGTCGAGACCATAATCGAACGATCTATGGCAAGCCAGGGGCTACATGGCGGTACCTGACTAACTTACAAGCGTATGTTAGCAATAATGATGCTCAGATATCATCCGCTTGCATGAAGACTGTCCAATAATGATTGTGATATGGCACGCCAAACATGCAAGAGGCGAAAGTAAAGATACTAAGAAGCGCAGACATGACAGGTAATCTCATGCAAGGCAGATTATCCAACCAGCGAGGGTTACATGGAGGTTCCAATGACCAATGAGGAGGCTGAAGTAAGCTTCTGTAGAAGTAAATCCATCACCGGGTAGTTCTGCACCAACGGAGTACTTTCTTCGCTTACTTATACCCGAAGACTAAATACGCTCAAAGCATCGATCCAACCGTTCCCGAAACCCACCTGATGCGGGGGTGGTTACCTTATAAGGGTAGGCAGCAGGAGTGGGTATGAGCACTGGAATAATTTCCTTGATATTGATGTTGATGAAAAGTAAGGTCAGTTCAATGCTGTCCCAGAACGCTGGTTCAAGTTATCTGGTCACTCCCCATGTTATGTATCACGCATACTAATTACACTGTATGGAGTACCTTTCGACTTTTCTTTCACAACATCCCTTAGAGTCATCTTCTGTCCGTACTGTCATACTCATTGACTTGACAAAAATGCCAATCTTTAGATCCCTGGATCTCATCTATTATTTGATAGATCAGAGTAAAAAACAAAGAAAAAGACAAGAAGATCCGACCACGACTAATCGACCCGTGTGTATTTATCCTTACGATACATAGCCCGGAAAAGGCTTGTCTTCTAAAAAGGGACCCACGGGGTGCCTTAGTAAGAAACAGAATCTTTGGTAAAATAAAAGATATCAGTAAATTAGTCAATGAATGAATAGATTAATATCAATTTCACGACAACTTGCCTTAGGGGTAGCCGAGGTATTTATCTAAATGAAGGGTGGGGGAAGGATCTTGATTCTTACCAACTTAGCAAGAAATATTTCAAGTAAATTTCAATATTGTACTGCGCCGCAGCGCTTTTGCCTATGCAGGTAAGCACTTAGAATTGTATAATTCCCGACCTTGCCGAGTTCTAATCATATTCTCTCATGTTCCTGTCTTCTGAGAAGGGGGATAAATAAGAAAGCATTTCCCAGCTGCGAGAACAGAGAACACAAAACAAAAAACAAAACACAGAATCCATAACCAGATATGTACCAAAACCTTGCATATATTTCTCATGTTGGGGTGTTAAATCAAGCTTAAAAATTGATCAACAGGATCGTCCTTCTATACATATCAGCCTATGAACTTGCCAAAAGCATTGATACTCATGGGAGCTTACCACATCCACATCCACTTTCTCTTTTTACTTTTGTCATCAAGCCACCCCTGAATGCTTTGATAATAATGCCTGTTGTGTTGATCATTTACGATCTTAACATTCCAAACCATACTTCTCATAGTATTGATCTGTGGAATTCTTGAAAGTTCGTGCTTCAAATCGCTTTTGAAATTGCTCCATGATTGATTAATTTGGGCCAACAATGATTGTATAGATTCATTAAACGCTGAATGTAATGCCGAGAGTCGAAATGTCTTTAGATTTGTATATACTTTTAAGACTTGATGGGAATATCAAATGCTGGACAAAAAAATAGCACTAGAAGATTTGGAATGATTGGTTAAAAATTGAACTATAAGAATTTTTCGACATTGTTGGGTATCTTGTTAATGGATCATCAAACAACCACTAAACTCGATTGCTACAATAACAATATATTGCTATCATCAGATATGACTGCAGAAAAGTGAAATCCGGGTAATATCATGCAACATGTCCATTTCCTTTGCTGTACCAATCACCTAATGCTTGGAGTATTGATATCAGCAGTACCAAGCGCTCTCAACGTAGCAATTTGAGTGTAGCATCGAGGGGCCAAACCTCCATGCAACCTGCAGTCAGCATGTGACAAGAGTTTTTTCCATCTCTTTTCGACTACCTCAAGGATATTGCCATTATGCTATGTTGTCAGTCATTCATTCTCTAGCGATGCCCCCTTAACCACAGGTTACACACGAGAGAAACAGAGGCCGTGCTGATTGAGTTTTGCAAAACATATGGTTCAAGCTATGAATTGTGCCCTTGGTATCATTCTGTTGGCTTGATTAGCTGCCACTTTTAGGAGAGTAGCTTCAAAGAAGTTATCAGTTCTTTCGTTTCTGGTGTTGAATTTGGCGATAGAGTGAGACCCTCAATCGATTGACGTAATTCCACGTCTGACTCCATGGCTTTTCTCATCATTTCAGCAACATAAGACTGCCTAGGGCCGAAGAGCCAGTCCACAGTACTAAGTGCTTCCAGTAACTCCAAGGAGAAAATTGTCAATGTCATATGCATAAGCAAGTCTTCTTTATCCACCATTTTCGTTGCCGCGAAATACAATAAACCAAGTTCTCCGTCATCCTGTGGTATGTATTCTCTGTCTATGTGGCCTAATGTCGACCTGGTCAAGTAATCAAAATCGACAGTTGCCAAACGAGGAAGAATTCTCAATAGACGAGCCTGAGCGAGTGTCTTTTGCATCTCATCCAATTGACCGTCGCCATTTCCGCTATTCTTCAAGCTACAGAAAGAGAAAAGCATTTTGTAGATTTCGACGTCCTGAAATATTCGTCGCCAAAGCGCCCCCTGGCCAGGTGGTCGCTGGGAATCAATATCGATGTTTCCTATTCCTCTTGTGATATGTGCTAACTCTCGGACAGAGTCAACCTCCAAGAGTTTTGCAAGTACTTGTGTAGCCTTTTCACCAACTCCGACATGAGGGCTGCTAAGCCATGTTCGGATGTAATTCTCGACCACTCCTCTCATGCTAGCTAAGCTTGCGACATCTGTGGAGCTTTTAGTAGCCTTTTCAATGATTGTGATGGCGAGAATATTCGCAGCAGGTATGGGAGATCGAAGTGCGATAATTAGTGCGTCCTCAGAAGCCAATTTGAGCGCTTGAGGAAATGTGATTGGCTGTAATAACTTTACAGATAGACTGGCGATTGCGGTAGGGTCTTGTTGCGTGGTAAGGAGGATCTGAGTGATGGTAGGGAGTAACTTAGGGATCAGCGGAGAAATGTTGTATTCTAAGAGGAGATTAGAAGCCGTCAAAGATTGTGTAACACGGCGGCTTGATTCAGAGCTCTGTCAGAATATAAAACAAACAAGTACACACCTGTCAGCTGTAGCTCTACTGCATCGAAGAGTTTCGTATCGATTGGAACATCTGGAGATTTAACCAGCTCCTGAAGATGGGCTTCGAGCTCTTCCAATTTGAATATGGGGGTATAATCTATATCCATTCTGGACACTTCCTTTCTTAGCCCTTGAATGTGAGTGATATTGAGAGGCTGCAAGTTGGAGTAGGTAGGGTAATATTGAAGATAAACTTGAAAAGAAGACTTGGAAGATTTTGATATTTTGATATTTTGATATCAGTTAAATACTGGTAACTATAACATGAATGGAAGAAATGTAAAAGAGCGTTGTGACTTTCTATAGCTAGCTAGAAACTTGAGCAGCTTATTAGAGAAAGCTTAGAAAGCTTACTGGGTTATCCCCGCCGTGCATCAGAATAAGGCGGTGACCATTTTCGGCATATAATGTGGCAATATTACTAAACCGGCTTAAATGCCAGAAACCGCCGGGCTCGCTTGATAGGGATCATGTCGACCAATCAGATTACTGGAATTCTTGATATTTGAAGGGGAATTAAAAATATCAAAATCAAAATAGAATTTCAAAAGAAAAGTCTCTGAAAAGTTCTACACGACCAATCAGAGCTTATCACCCAAGGTAAGCTGCGGTGTTCAATTTTTCAGATATGCAACAAAACAAAAACTTGAGCAGCTTTCACCGCTTTCTGGCAGAAACTCAATTAGGTCCCACCGCCTTGAAGATATGGCAAAAATAAATCTTGGGGACAAGAGGAAGAAGAAGCTATTTCTCTTCATCCCAAAGCTTTTATAAAACACACTCAGAATCTAATCAAGTACATCAGTATTCTTGAGTTTTACCATCATTTGTATAATTGTTGTCGCAAATATTTAGACATCAATTTAAGGTCTATCTATCACCCAAACTAGCGCTATCCAATACCCATTCTACCTGCCTACGATTTCTCGAAAATCAGCAATCGCTTCAAAAATTTAGGAAATTAAGCTTGACATGGCTTTTCGTGGAGGTAGAGGAGGTTCTAGAGGAGGTGGGATAAAGGGAGCAACGTGGGAGCACGATGCCACCTTAAAACTAGATTTTACACCAAATGATGACTATCCTGTGCGTCACACTCTCCAGCTCCTTTTGAAGCCTTGCACATTTACTAACACACATATATCCAGCGCCATCCCAATCTTAAACGTCCTTCACCTCTCACACCCCAAGAACGAACGCAAGTAAAATACTACCGCACGCTTCGCGACAAAATCCACCGCGGGCCCCTCTACACTCATTCCTCTAAGAGAGATACCGAAACGCCAGCAAAAACATTTGGAGAAAAGCAATTCAATGAGCAATATGGCCGACAAACCAAAGCGGATTTCGATCCATTCCTCGGAGTCGAAACATACAGCATGAAATACCAACGAAAGAAGCGAGCTATACCATTAGTGAGCGGGATGAATTTTACCAAGGAGTTTTATCCCAAGGAGTTATGGTCAGTTTTAGATGGAGAAGAAGAAGCAAAGGTTGCGAAGGATAATGCGGCATTAGCCGCAATGGGCGATGAAGATCCATCGGAGAGGACCAAAGCTTTATTGGCGAAGATTGAGAGGGCGACGGGAGTAGAAGGTGCGGAGGGAGAGGAGGATGAGGGAGAGGAAGAAATTGAGGAAGAACAGGATAATGATTATGAGGATGATGAGGAAGATATGGGTGGTGATTATGATGCGGAGCAATACTTTGAGAATGGTGAGGATGATGATGACGATGGTGGAGATGGAGGTGGTGGAGATGATTATTAATTAGGGGGGAATGTTTGGATACTGTATTTTCAATTTGAGGCGAGGAGTTTGGGAACTGGGGTGCTTACATGAAAGCCTTTTCATACGGAGGGTCTCGGAGGTTACATCTACCAGATTGTATGAGTGTAAGGATATACAAAAAGAATAAGATTCACGTACAAAAGTATTGGTACGAAAACTCGCTCATCCTACGAAAGATGCCGTCCTACCAAATAATACACTCCAGCCGAGAAGACATACACTTCTTACTCCTACTGATACTAGTGCTAAGATAGGCGGGCGACAGACAAAGAGAAACCCCAGACCGAAGACAAGAATTCCATCTTCGTCCCATCTTTCTACGCCTCATTCCGCTGCACCGTACCTGTCCAAGTTGTGGGAGGTTTGAAAATATGGCAATATACCCATAAAATGACTACCTACCTAGGTACTATGCAGATACATTTACGGCAAACAACAGCTACGTGCGATACTATTGTAAGACTTAAGATTACTACACTGCCAGACTCTATCTATTCTGTGATGTGATGTGAACATTTGTGGAAATTTAGTGATGAAGTTACCTAGTTCTTGTCATATATAGATATATATCCTCACTCATCTTGATTCTTGATGTCAGATTAATAGTAACATTCTCCAGTACGGAACAAAGAATTCATGTAATGTAATTTAATGTAATCTTCATATCGTATCCTGCGCAATCATATCCTATTTTAAACATCATATTCCAACTAGATTCCCGCTTCGAATCAAGTCAATCCAGTTTAACTCTCCGCTCAAACTAATCTCACTACCTCCTCTCCTCTCTTCCCTCCCCTTCCCTTCCCTTCACTGAAATTCATCATTCCATCATCCATCCTTCACCGTTTCACGGTCCATCAAATAAAACATATCTCAACTTCCAACACTAACCAACAAAATGGCAGAGTGAAGTGGGGAAAAGAAAGAACAAGTTTGCCTCCCCTCAATGCTCATGCTATTTTGTGTTATGCTTTCCTCCATTCCGTTTTATGCTGCGAGACTGCCTCCCGAAATGCAAAAATGCATGTACCGTACTGTATGTGCTTAAGCGAACTATTCGGGGAGATCTATGATTTTACCTGGATTCATTATCCAATGGGGATCTTTGTGTTATGTTAGTCGGATTCTTTTCATTGAAGTAGTGTTTGATAAGGTATCCACTGTACTCGGAAAAGGAGAAATGGAGTGGTGTGGAGAGGAGAGGAGAGGAGAGGAGAGGGAAAAGTGAAAATAACAAGTATTCACCTAATGCCTGTTTGATAGATTTCATGACTCCCAGAGTATCATGTCCCAGTTCCATGAGTAAAGAATCTTTCTTTCCGATTCCTATTCCATGTTCTCCCTATATCCTCTCATCAGTCTTCGATATCCCATCAAATTAGTAGAATCTCAAGACATACCGTAACGGTCCCCTCCATTTCCAACGCTCTAACCACCATATTCTTGACACACTTCTCCACCTTCTCCTTCTCCCCCGCCACCGTCTTATCATACATAATACTCTCATGAAAATTCCCATCACCAACATGACCCAAAATACTAGCGAAAAGACCCAAATCATCCATTTCCTTCTTACTCAACTCAATGATATCGGCTAATCTCGATAACGGAACTGCTACATCCGTACTCCAAACTTCGCCTCCTTCTTTACGCAAGGCAAGCATACTCCATAGCGATTCTTTTCGTGCAGACCAGAGGAGTTTTTGTTCGCGGGCGTCTTTGGCAAATTCAAAGGAGCTGCCGCGGTGGGATTTGGCAATTGCGGATACCATGGCTATATTTTCTTTGACTGAAGCTTTGGTGCCCGAGAACTTGAAGAAGAGGGTGGGGAGTTCTTTCCATTGTCTTGGTGCGGTGGATTTCGATAGATTAACTACTTTCATTTGTACTTCATCCATGATTTCCATTGCTGCGACTTGAATACCTGCACGCATGACTCCTGCTGCCGCAGCTGCTGCGTATCGTATCGTCGGGAAAGTGACTACAGCTACCGAGTATTCAGGAGGTACGACGGCGAGCTTGAGGGTTATTTCGGTCACGAGACCAAGGGTCCCTTCGGAGCCTACAAAAAGACTGTTAAGATTGTAGCCAGCGGAAGATTTGCGGGGGCGTCGTTTTGTCTTGATGATTGTCCCGTCAGAGAGAACTACGGTTAAGTTTATTACCCAATCTTTCATTGATCCATAACGAACACAATTTGTCCCGGAGCAGTTTGTTCCAACCATACCCCCTATTTTTGCACTTGGACCTGGATCAACTGGGAAGAAAAGACCGGATTTGCGCCTTGCCAGTTCCTCGTTAAGATCCATCCACTAAAAGACGACATTAGCATGCCGATGAAGTTAATGACGTAAAGAGGAATCCGCATCAAATTTGGGCTTCTTACAGAAACAGATGGTTGCACAACAATATCCATATCCTCTTCATGAAGCTCGACGATTCTATCCATAAATGCAAAATCCACGCTAACACCTCCATAAGGACATGACACATTTCCTTCCAAACTCGATCCTCCTGAATAAGGAACGATTGGTACACGATATTTGTGACATATCGAGGTGATTTTGGAGACCTCTTCAGTAGATTTTGGATAGGCTACAGCTACTGGGAGAACATCAACATTGGTTGATGACCATTCTGAACTGTAGAGCTGAGTTAGTCATGAATTTAATCTATGTCATTGAGAAGCTATCTGTAGTGTTACGAGACATGAAGTCTCTCCGCCTTGTTTGTGAGTTTTGGACCATGAAATATTCCGTACGTGGCAGAATGAACGAAACTTACTATCCATGAGCCAATAAATCCTCCGGATCCGTAGATATAGTATCCTCATGTGTAGCTTCTTGAATTTCCTTCAAGGCCTGAATAGTATTAGACATAATTCCATCGATTTTACTTCTCCCATACTCGACCTCCATCTCATCTATATCTCACTGGTGCTCCATGATGGTAACTTGACAATTCCGAAAACTCACAATTTCCATATGCTTAATATTTGCATATCTAGGCACCGTAAACTTCGCCGGATCTGCATAATCTCTGATGTCACCTCTCCTATGCTTTTCCCGCATAATCGCAAATGCATAAGCTAAGCCTCCAGTGGCTGCTGTCAATAGAAGTACTCTTCCTGTCGACCATCCATTTTTGGCCTTGGCATCGAAATTGGCGGATTTAGATTTGGGTTTAGAAGTCGGGATTAGTGAAGAGGTATTTGATTTCGATTTCGTACTTTGATATCTGAGTTTTAGAGAGGAATTATAGGGATTCCTGATTCCTGTTTGGGTGATTCCAGGTACTCTAGAAGTAGAGATGCGAAATTGTGGTTGCAGTTTTCCCGTGATGATCGGTTGAAGTCTCGCCGAATACATGGCCATGGCTCAGGATGAAGGGATGAAGGGATGAAGGGATGAAGGGATGAAGGGATGAAGGGATGAAGAGATGATGAAGAAATGGACGAATGGACACTTGCACGAGACTGATGTGTACAAGGATTTGGTGAATATTTCCGAGCCGTCACTTTCCTTTGTAAATATAATATACGCCCGGGAAAGACTTTCCTTTCCTCAGGTAGTTTATGTATCCGAATAAATAGGGGAAAGAACAATCAATCAAGTAAACGTTTGAATCCGTGAAAGAAAGAAGGAAAGAAAGAATCAAAGTCATCCAAAGCATTGGCCTACACTATCAATCTGACGTCTTCCTTGACCACTTTATATAGAGGATCTATTGATACAGAAGTGGATCCTTAGCACATGTCATCTAGATGAGGAGGCCATCAAAGTCATGCCCGAGAAATAGCGTCTTCTTTCCTTTCGCCCTGTTGGCGTGCTAAGTATGAAATAAGTATGTTTGTGGATCATGAGTTGTGGAAATCCGAGTAGTGTGCTCATGTCATACTCTAGGGAAGGGGGGGTTATACGGACGGAATAGTTGGTCTCTACCTACCTACCACATTCAATGGCTTACTTTGAAGTTTCTATATTGTTCAATTGATTAGGTCTGAGTGAGAAAATGGTCTTTCTATTCTTGATGAGCAACTCCAATTCCATTCCCCAATGTCTTATCTTTCTACCTTCAACTATGAACTTACGAGTTACATATATATACATATAGTACACATATATAGAATCTACAACTATACATACACCATACATACACCCACCATATATATACATACACCCATCAAGCCTACACCACACATCCGAAATATGAACAACAACTAAATCTCCCAACCATCCAGCTGACCAAAACGCTACATAATCCCTCGAACCCATCACGAAAAATCCCCAAGCTTCCTTCCCCAGTTGTGTAACTCCCCACACTAAATATGTACCATTCATCATTCATCCATTCATCATTCCGTCCATTCATCCACCATCCACGAACCCGAGTAATATATCTCCAAAATCTGTCGTGTCACCCCACCTTTGATGTATAAAAAATAGACTCGGTCAGAAATCAAAGAACCCTTCCTATGTACTTGGAAATGAATCTGTGGTGTGGTGTGGTGTGGTGTGGTGTGGCGTGGTATGTATCTTGACAGCAGCTCGTACGTATCGTATGTATTCGACTATTCGGCTCCCTACCTAGGTACGTGTAATGTATCGAGCATCAATGTCGAGTATCAGTATCAGTATCGAATATCGTACATATATAGATAGTATCTAATGATTAACAACGAACTGCTAAGAGGTTTTCCTTAATTATTCTTATTTATTGTCCTACTGATACTACCTACCTATGTATATATCTCCCAACGTCGAAATCATCGTCTCATCCCCTATTTACATCCTCGTACAGAAAATAAGCACGCACATCTCCATACGGCCTCTTGTCTAGTGCTAGATACTTCTTACCTAAAGATGAATTACTTCAGCTTCATGCTTCACTATTTCAATCCGACTGTGTTGCCCTTAGCATGTGGCATGTACCGTGGATGGTTTTGAAAATGTCCAGACGTGAATACTTTTAATGTCAATTGTTAAAAGTTGAATGTTGTGCACTCATGCGCTACTCAACAATGCTAGGACACTGGCACTCAATGCTGTTTAATGCTTTACAAAACCTTACTTTGAAATATCGTCGTGGTCATTGATGAATAGGTGGCATGGAGGTTAGCATTGGCTTCTGGGATCAATACAACTCGTTACTGCTACTCATATATACATACAAATCACATGACAGTCCATAATCAAACCATCCGATTAAAGCTGGATTTGGAGGGTTATATCATTGTGGTAAAAACTGACTCATGCTAAATAAGTCGTATTTCTCATAAACTCTTGCTTATTGCAAAAAGGAGATTTTAATATCCCATACCATGACTCCCCCCAATCCCAAATACAAAGCAAAACGTACATTTAGTTTGCAGCAATGGCATGAGCACGTCTGCGGTCCCTCTCCTCAGCGATGGTGAGCTTAACACCCTTACCCTTTGGTAGAGAGATCCATGGCTTCTCAGCTCCAATGACGAAAACGTTGCTCTCACGGGTAGCGAAGGAGTTGTCTATGGCATCCTTGATGTGGACAATGTTGAATCCTCCATCGTGACGTTCACGGTGGGTGATGACACCGACACGACCCATGTTACGACCACCAGTAGCCATAGCGATGACACCAGTGTCGAACTTGATGAAGTCGGTGATCTTTCCGGTAGCAATGTCAATCTTGACAGTGTCGTTAACCTTAATGGCTGGGTCTGGGTAACGAATACTAGAAGAATAATTCATTAGCATTTCTGGGGGAAAGGATAATTCAAACCGTTGGTCTAGCTAAATGTGTGTCGTAGGGGATCGACCAAAGCTTGGACCAACGGCTGAATGATGTCTGACAGAACTTACGTTCTAGCATCGTGCGTGACCAAGAATGGGATTCCGCCTTTGCCTAATTGCACTCTCTTGACTTTTGCGAGCTTGTATTCTGCCTCCTCAGCTTGGATACGGTGAACGGTGAAACGTCCCTTGGTGTCGTAAACCAAGCGGAAGTTCTCGCTGGTCTTCTCGATACCGATAACATCCATGAAGCCTGCTGGGTATGTAGCATCGGTGCGAACCTTTCCATCGACCTTGATCAAGCGTTGCATGAGGATGGCCTTGGTCTCGCGAGAGTTGAGAGCATACTTGAGACGGTTGCGGATGAAGACGATGAGTGGCATGCAGTCTCTAAGCTTGTGTGGACCGGCGGACGCACGAGGAGCATAGGCACCGGACAATTTGTCCAAGAGCCAGTGATTTGGCGCGCTCAAACGCTTTTGGTGCTTCTTTCTGCATGCGACAAAAATATTAGTAAATAGTATTAGGATGTGCTGATTTGTGTATGAATGCGAGGATTAGATAAAGGGTGATTGAACAAGGTAATCGAGTCGGTCAGTTTCTTGCTGGCCATTGCAGCAGCTGTCAAATGGCCGACGAGTCGCAATGTCAAAAGTATACCATATCAATTCGATTGAATTGGATGTCCTGACAGACTGGGAAAAGGGTTTCGGAATTCGAGAAGATGATGAATGCTTGTGACATAGATTGATGGGTAGTACTTACGGTCCTCTACCCATGGTTGCGTCTCTGTATGTATGGAGAAACAAGTATCGGGGTGGTTGTTGTCGTCGAAGTTGTCGAAGAGAAATTCAAAAAAAAGACCAAAATCAAATTGGAACAAAATCAAAAAGTTTCCTCCCAAATTTGTGCGCTATGTTAAGCGAGGTTGCTGATTTTGATGCCTGAAAATCCACTAACAAAATTGATAAGGCACGAATCAAACTCGTGTCATCCCCCACGATGATTTATCTATCACGGGATTTCGTGCTTTTGAATTCATTTGTACCCCACTATGAGGAGAGTGTTGGCGCGTTTTAATTTGCCATTTTCAATTCACATTTCGTGTTTTATTACCCCACGTTGTTTAACAGCTGGAGCCGCTGCAGATGCTTGCTCTGTGATGTGGTAAGAAGAAGAAGGAGGAGGAGGAGGAGGAGGAGGAGGAGAAGAAGCAGAAGAAGAAGAAGAAGCAGAAGAAGAAGAAGAAGAAGAAGATGAGAAGGAAGAGGGAGAAGAAGAAAACGAAGAAAAAGAAGAAAAAGTAGACGGAAGAAAAGAGCGGAAGACGCCCGTCACTACCTAGTATGAGGTATCTCCTACCTGCTACTTATATTAATAACCATCTCCCTGATGAAGTGAATACTACATGTTGAAATGTCCACCTACCTGATTAGGACTCCTCCCACCCAAATTCACCCACACACAAACAGAAGGAAAAGGAAGCCATGTTAAATAATCATTTGAGAAAATTTCCCAAGTCTGAATTAGATATTTAGATGCATTACGACGCTACTTTCCCACTACCTTACTAACCTGACTACCTGACTACCTGACTACCTGACTACCTTACTACCTTACTACCTTCCTGAATCTCGTTCTCCCCATATCACCCCTCTAGAGCCTTCAACAATCGAATCTTCAACAGATTCTCATTATTTTGGGGTTTTGGTTTCTTGTTTGTCTTACTTTAACCCTCTTTGCTCTCAAGCCTTTTTGTTTGCACTTGTCAAAATCTGCAGCTTCCCGAAATCGGGTCTGAGGAAACGACAATAACAAGAGGCATTGAGTTCAAAATATAAACGGTGAAAAGGCTCCTTCTCCTTCCCCTTCCTCCTCCTCCTCCTTCAAACTTTTCCCCTCTTTCTTTTAGAGCTACTGTTTGTCAATCATTCACTCCTACCGAATCTTTAGTCTGCTTCTGTCTCTGTCTCTGTCTCTGCTTCTCCACCTCCACCTCACTTCACATCTCTCCCATCCAACAAGAATCAGTGCCTCTATTCGCAGTACTGCTTTGTCTGCCTTTTCGCGATTCTCCAGTACAACTTGCCTTGCCAGGTAACAGAGGGCTAGGCCTAGTTTCATTCAAGATACCAAATCTTCACATCGTTTCACCTCACTTTTCGATTCCATCACCATTTGTGAGATCGAGATCCTACTCGTTACCCTCTTTTCCGATCAACTAGATTATTCTTTCTAGTCAAGGGAGACGTTCTCAGCTAATATAAAGGTAGTATTTTGTAAGCTTTTGATCTTATCTCTTTATAATGATTCCAGAAAATTACAGCTAAACTTGTCCTTAGACTCTAGACTCTAAAATCGTCTTCAAGATCAAGATCGATTCCTCATTTCGTTCAACTACATGTTGCCACATCCAGTTTCTTAATCTCACCCATGGCAATCATGACACCGAAAGTTCCAGCTATTCAGATCAAGCCTGACGCTAACGAGTCCGGGAAAGTCGTACTGTTCATCGACAACATACAACCCGGTACCACAATCTACGACTTGATCAGTAGTCTGGAAAATCGAGGTACAATTACGTACATTGAGATTTTTGAGAACCGAGTCCAAGCAGGAAAAGCAGCAGCGCATAGAGGAAAAGTAGTGTTTTCGCCTCCTCCGATTCCTTTCTGGGATCGCCCATATCCAATCAACCTCGAAAAAGGCTCCACTTATGATGTTCGCATCCGTCAGGATATGAATTCAGGAAGAGAAAGGAAAGTCCCAAGCCCGTTCAGGAAAAATGTCTTCTACCCAGAAAAGACAAAACTCATTCCTTCTACGCTTCAATTTGGAGTCATGATAGAACCAGAATGCATGATGCCTATGCAAACGGTGAGATCTCAGAACCAAAATGATCTTGCCCTTACCGTGGATCTGAAGCGTAGAAAACTGGAAGCTCAGTTTTCGATGTATTTCACCGATCCAAGAAGTCATGGTGACAAAAGTTTCCCGTGTAGTGAACCCATTGGACACTTTGATCGAAAGGAGAGATATATGTTCAACATACCTTTCGACCAATTGAAGTCAATCCAGCGAGTTAATCTGGGCGATCGAAACTTATCACTCTTGATAACCCTGGATAGTCCACCGCAATTCTATCGCTGGCGTGAGGACCAGAAAAGATCTCAGCAACCAGTACTATCATGGACCGAATGGGATAGCTGGTTTCGGCAAACAGATATTGAATACAATCCTTTCTTTGTAGAAGGTATTCCACTTGCTTTGCATAAGGAAAGGCCGGTAATTGATATTGGTAAGTCTACATTGGGACATTCTTGATTCTATGAACGGTACTAACTGATGTAGGTCGTTGGACCACCTACCGCTGGGTTTTCAACGATGGCCAGTGTGCGCCTGATGAACTTCATAAAGTTCAAAAAGCTCTTCAAGATTTCAACATTGAAATTATCACGCTAGATAACTTTCGTCTAAAGCCCATGCGGAAAGCTGAGTTATGGTCTCTTATAGATCCACGTGGGGCTAGAAGTGCAACGGCAGATGTCCATTTACATGATTCCGGAAGGGTTACAGTACCACTACCATTCGAGGTAAGGTATCAGCTCGAAGTATGCATCTCACGAGAAATCATCAACGAATATAATATCGATGAAAAGTTCATATATTCCTTGGCCAAGGTAGCTGCACAGGCTCCAGCTAAGGCAAGAGATTTACTGGAGTACGTCGCCGAGAACTACAGCTCTAAACGGTTGTATAATCCTTCTTCTATATTTACCAACAATGAGGCTTTATCATTCTCCTCTATGACTGATATTCCCCATTATTGCGCATTTTCCCGGAAGGCGACAGTGACACCTAGCTCAATTTACTTCAGCTCGCCCACTGTTGAAACTACGAATCGAGTCTTGCGACATTACTCAAAAGAGAACAGAGAGGGTCGATTTTTGCGTGTCCAGTTCACAGATGAGAAAGCCGAGGTTAGTTCTCCTGTTCTTCAGTACTATTCATCCTTTGCTAATAGGTGCAGGGCCGGATCAATGCATGCGCCGATAAGATTCGTAACGATGGATTATTCACAAGAGTGTTTAGAGTAATCAGCAATGGCATTCGTGTTGGCAATAGGCACTATGAGTTTTTGGCTTTTGGAAACTCTCAATTTCGAGAGAACGGAGCATACTTCTTTTGCCCGCCAGCCTATTTGTCCTGCGACGACATTCGTCAATGGATGGGAACCTTTTCCCACATCAATATCGTTGCAAAATACGCCGCAAGACTTGGCCAATGTTTCTCGACAACTAGAGCCATCAGAGGACTCTCGGCACCAGACCTCGTCAAGATTCCTGATATTGAAAGAAATGGGTACTGTTTTACTGATGGGGTTGGTAAGATTTCACCGTTCCTAGCTCAAATGATTGCTGAAGAACTGAAACTCCGTACCAACTCGGCACCATCAGCATTTCAATTCAGATTGGGTGGCTGTAAAGGAATCCTGGTCGTCTCCCCTGATGCGAAGAATAACGAAGTCCACATCCGCAAGAGTCAGCAAAAGTTCACAGCTGTATACAATGGTCTTGAAATCATCAGATGTTCACAATTCTCCTCTGCAACTCTCAATCGTCAGACAATTACCATTCTCTCGTCGCTCGGAGTCAAAGATGAGGTTTTCTTGAAGATGCTATCTGAACAACTCTCCGACTACCAGAATGCGATGAGCAACAACACGATCGCGCTTAACCTTCTCAACAGATATATTGATGATAACCATGTGACCATTAATATCGCCAGTATGATCTTGAATGGTTTCATGACAGAAAAGGAACCATTTGTTCTATCTTTACTGCATCTCTGGAGAGCATGGTCTATTAAACTGCTGAAGGAGAAAGCAAAGATCATCGTGGAGAATGGGGCATTCGTGCTTGGTTGTGTTGATGAAACAAACACTCTTAGGGGCTATACAAAACCAACTGTGGCATGCGGTACGACTTATAAAGAAGATGAGTTACCTCAGATCTTTATTCAAGTCCGCAACAGAGAGAATACAACTCAATACAACGTTATTGAGGGAATCTGCCTTGTCGGACGAAATCCATCTCTTCATCCCGGTGATCTTAGAGTTGTGCAGGCGGTCAATGTGCCAGCTCTGCATCATTTGCGAGACGTTGTTGTATTCTCTCAAAGTGGTGAAAGAGACGTGCCTAGCATGTGCTCTGGCGGCGATTTAGATGGTGACGACTTTTTTGTTATATGGGATAAGAATTTGCAACCATCTGAATGGAACTGCGAACCAATGAGCTATGCAGCTTTAGAGCCTGTAACTCTCAAACGAGCTGTGAAAGTACGGGATCTGCTGAAATTTTTCGTCAAGTATATGAAGAACGATTCCTTGCCGACCATAGCTCATGCCCATCTGGCACAAGCTGATCTTCTCACCAACGGCATCAAGGATCCTAAATGTAAGTACCCTTTTGCTCTTGTCATATCGTTTTGATACTGATTCCAATCTCAGGCCTCGAGCTTGCGGAGCTGCATAGCAAAGCCGTCGACTATGTTAAAACTGGTCAGCCAGCTAATATGCCAAGATATCTGGCCCCCCAAAAATGGCCACATTTCATGGAAAAGACCCATAAACCCCTATCAAAACAATACCATTCCTCAAAAATACTTGGTCAACTATATGATAAGGTTGAGAGTGTGCACTTTGTCCCACAGTACGAGGAACCCTTTGATAAACGCATTTTGAGAGCCTACAAGTTAGACAATCCCATTTTGAAGGCTGCTCGTCAGACTAAGACAAAATACGACACTGCTATGCGACGAATCCTAGCCCAACAGGATATAAAAACCGAATTTGAGGTATGGTCGACGTTTATCCTTTCAAAACCAAAGGTTGGAAGCGACTACAAACTCCAGGAGGAAATGGCGTCAATTACAGGTGCACTCAAAGATCGGTTCCGTTTAGTGTGTATTGAAATGGCTGGTGGTAAAGACTTTTCGGTCCTCGGGCCATTCGTTGCTGCTATGTACAAGGTGACGAAGGAGGAGCTTGATATTGCATTAGCTGAGTGTCGTACAACTAGAATGGTGAATGGAATGGAAGTGCCAAAGAGACGCATGAGGCCGGACTCAATGCCCCTAATAAGTTTCCCGTGGTTGTTCGAGAAAGAACTAGGCAGAATTGCTACAGGCGTTGAAGCAATTGATGATTTTGAAAAGACAGGCTTCAAAACTTTTAGCACTGGCAAGCCTCAAACCACGGCATTAGATCATCAAAAGGAGTTGCGTAAGCAAGATGAAGATTTCGTCAAGCAAGAAAATGGTGTGGTAATTCACCGCGGCGAAATTCTCGACTTGTTTCAGGACGACCTTTCGGACAACGAATTCCATTACGATGGAGAACAATCTGACGTGGAGTCCACAACTTCTACACCAGCCGTGGCGCTTGGCCCTCTAATACCAGGAGACGAAACACGCCGCTCTGTCAATAACAAGACTTCCGAGGAGTCAATCCAAACGTCTAGGCCTCGAGATAATGGATCCGGCTTACTCCCTGGAAACTCGCAAGGCCATGATAAAATGGAAACGAAGCATCTAGGATCATCTGTTATGGAGGAATCTGATTCCGCTGAAGCTCCTACACCATCTTCATCTACTCAAGTTTCCTTTCCACCGGCTCTGGTTAGGCAAGATGAATCCGACTCAAACCTATCTGATGATGGAGAAATCGAAGAAATTGTCGAGGACATAGGCAATGTGGTTCTTGAACCATCTATGATGGACAAGCTATCGGCTTTCGTAGACTAAAGACGTTTGGACCAATTCATTAACGTGGATTTCGTTAAATTTTTATTTATTTTAGCCTTTCCTACCTTCTCAAGAACGTCCAGCACTGAAAAGTGCTTTCACGCGTAGATATTCTGCTGCCACAAATTGCGTATCTTAGCTTCGACTCAAGAAGTTTTAGAGCTTTAAATGTAGAAGTACAAATGCCTGATTTTGCATGGTTCTTTGCCCATGAAAGATCTGAAGTACTTGATAGGGAGAGATTGAATGAGCAGATCTAAAAACTAGTTAGTATAGCGAGCGTCTTTGCGTCACGCGATTGATTGATTGCACAATGATAAAATCAAAATTACAATATACCACCATTATTCTATTCACCATGCCTATTTAAAGTTGTGCTTGAATTGCAGTGAGGCCACCTAGTGGCTACCTGGTTGGGTTTCGTGCGTGTCGTATGATCTTCCCCCTTTTTCTTCCTTCCCCTCATAGCCGAGAAGTTATAGAAATATTCGGAATATGAATTTGGTTACTGATACTCCAGCACCTTCATTTCTTGGTCGTGTTCATACATCGAGTCACTTCACGACTCAGTTTCTGGCCAAATAGGCGTCACATAGAGGAGAGGTAATAAAGTTTCAAATGAAGCAGGTATTTCTTATTCACCTTGGAAATGTAACTTCTGTATTCTAGAACATTTGGGTATATAACCTGCCTCCCTCCTTAGATTTTAGATATAACCCTTGAGGACCGCCGCTTCAGCGTTCAATATCGAAGACCCAGCCGCCCCAATAACGGCTAAATGATGTTAGTCCTTGGGCACTGCAGTAAGGAGAAGAACGGGATGAAGACTCACTGTTATGACTTAAAGCCACGAATTTAATATCAAAGATCCCACTATCATCTTCTCTAACTCTTCCAACGCTAACTGTGTATCCGTTTTGTGTATTGCGATCTAATCTTGGCTGTGGTCTATCTGGCTCGTCCATGACTGCAATGGCTGGCTCCGGCGCAGACGGACATCCTAATGTCTGAGCTTCACTAACATAATCTCTCATAGCTTTCTTGACCTCTTCAGCAGTAGGTTTAGGTCCATCACGCTTCTTGAAGCGGAGAGAGACACAGGCCATATGACCATCTAGAACCGCGACTCTGTTGCAGGCTGCCGAAATCTTCAAGTCGGATTGATCCTCAAACCCAGTAATTCCCGGATTAACCTTTCCAAGAATCTTTTGCGCTTCCGTTTCTAATTTATCTTCCTCGCCAGAAATGAATGGGACAACATTGTCAAGAATATCCATGCTGCTTACTCCTGGATAGCCGGCACCGCTGACAGCTTGCATGGTGACCACGCTCACTTGGTCGACTTCTCCGAAAGCTTTTTGGATGGCGGCGAAGGGGATTACTATACCGATGACGGCACAGTTGGAATTGCAGACAAGGAAACCTTTCTTTAAGGAGTGAGCACGGCGTTGATGAGGTATGAGATCGAAATGGGGAAGGTTGACTGTGGGGACGATGAGGGGGACAATTGGATCGCGGCGGTAGTTTTTGGCATTGGAGAAAACGGCTAGTTCAGACTTCATGAATTCCATTTCTAGATTATTCATCCCATGTAAGCATTACCCTTTACAAAACCGTCGTGCCGTCTCACAAATGGAACTGCTGGGAGGGACAAGGAGGTGTGAATCCAGTTGAGAAGGCTCATACCAATATCACCAGCAACATCAGCATCTAATCCACTGAATACAATATCACAATCTGCGAATTCTGTTGCTTTGCATTCCTTGACCACTAGATCACCAATCTCGGCGGTCATGGGGAAGGCTTGCTTCCATTTGACGGCGTCTTTGTATTTCTTGCCTGCCGATCGCGAAGAGGCTCCTACGGCGTGGAGTTTAAAATACGGATGTTTGGCAAGGAGGAGAATGAATCTTTGGCCAACAGAGCCGGTACATCCAAGTACACCTATGGAACAGATTAGTTTGTCCCATGTTATGAAGAAGCGGAAATGGAAGGGAAGGAAATGCGAGTATGGGCTGGGAGGAGGGTTATATTGAGGGTTGACATACCACAACGCTTGGTAGGAAATTGAGTTGCCATGATGTGCAATTGATATGGCAATGGATATCACAATAGGGGAACCTACTGCGACGATTGTAAAAAGTAAATGTATGGAGAATATAAGAAGTTAAAAGTGTTTATGGAGTGTGACTGTTCCAATGGAATGGAAATCATAGTGGTGGCGGCTCGTGCAAGGCTGGACTATTTTTTCTATCGGGTGCCGACCTCGGGCATGCAAGGCTGAAATAATTCTTCCACGTAAATGATCAAATTTTGCCACAAAATAATTCCTGTTGCAACGGGGACTGGTCGAGTTACATCGTGAAAAGACTGATTTAATACTCCTACTTGAGAGTTTTGACGCTTCAGGCATTCAAATTTTCAAACATAGAACAAAAGAACAGCTACTGAACACTCTGCATGTGCTATCCAACGCGGGCATAATCCTTTCTCACACGTTCGACAAATGATCAGGGTAGAGTGGTTCATTATTTTGAGTTATTGCTATTCCTCTATCATACATCCATCCTCCTTAATATTGGCTTGCTGTGTTCTGGCACGCTTTCTGTAAAATACTGTTAGTATGATATAGACCCAAAAAGAATGTACGTTTGCCCATACCAATTGCTCCAAATACCAATTGCAAATTGACATGTTTCCTTGGTTTTCATCCATGCAGTTGGTAAAGCTCTTGACTTGGAAGCCACAATTTGGTTCGCCGAACTGATTCTTCTCTTGAGTTTGGGCTGCTACAGCATTATCTTGAGCAGCATCGGGTGCGCTAGATCCACCGCCGAAGAAACCTGTAATGGCATGGCCTAATGAGGATCCGATGGCGACACCTCTATATATTGCGATTAGTATTCACCTTGAGAAATACATCTGCGGGATGGGAACTCACGCTGCAGTGCTAGCCACCTGTCCGATTAAACCTGGACTAGAAGAGCTCTGGGTTTGTGGAGCGCTTGCTTGTGCTTGAGGAGCTGCTGGGGGAGCTGCACCAGAAGCTGGCCTTGGCGGGTATGCAGCAGTAGTTGCTGGTCGGGTTTGCTGAACGGTAGGTGGTCTGCTGGGGGCGGAGACTGTTGGACGAGATGGGGCGCTTCCCCTTCCGGATCTTCCTTGACGAGGCATATTTACTTGATGAATTGAAAGAGATGAGTAGATGAGTTGAAGTTTTAGGTGTGACGTTACGATTTTGCCTTAGATTTGGATACTTGATGAGTTTACTCAATCCCGGAACATGCTCTATTCCAGTCCCGCGAACTATTTCCAATCGGGTTAGCTCAGCCTTAACGTTGCGGTAAATGCACGTGATTTACTGCGGCGATCAACACTCCGTATATATGGCAAGAAACATTATGAGCTCAAGGGTTATGAGGAGAATAGTATTTAGAGAATACCTTTCACTGTTTTGCTCTTTTTGAAATCGAAAATCTAGATATTTATGATTGTTAACAGGATCTTGAAAAAATAGCTTTTATTACTTCTTTCTTTTTATGTCTAAATAATTATTGTTCAGGAACTCAGACTCTAAAGTTGTCCTGCTCTGCCGTGAAAATCATGGTATCATCCCTAAGCTAAATCCTGAACGCCCTCGTCCAAATATGCGTACAACCAGTTAATCTCATATTTATACCCCGATTATCAGATAGTTTCACTTCTTGCCCTTGGTCTTGACTTTCTTTGGCTTGCTCTTTGATTTCTTCTCCTGAGCTCTTCGCTTAGACTTTTTGGATTTGGAGTTGGGAGTGGAAGAGCTATCCTCCATCGACTCCGCTGAGGCTGCCGCTTTCGCGGTCTTTGACTTTTTGCTCTTGTGTGCTACTGGTGCAGACTCATCAGAAGAATCAGATGATGAATTGGAGTCATCGGATTCATCTGAAGTTTTTAATTTTGCACTATTGGGTGCTGTTGTTTCTCCATCTCCTTTCCTCTTCTTTGATATCTCTTCGAATCTGATATGAGACTTGGCCCTCTCCTTCGCCATTTGCTCCGCTCTTTGCAAATCATACTTATCATTTCCACTCTGTAAGGTAGGCATAGTTAGTATATATTCCTAAGCCATCTAGTTGAAGAGGAATAAGACGGGCTTACTAGTCCTGCCTTGATGAATCTTCCAGCGGCGCCTTTATCTAATCTAAGATTTCTCTCTGATGCGACTGCGGCGGGAGGATTCTCGGTAAGTTTTATCTTCTCAAAATATTGCTTCATCCGCGTAAGCTCGGTGAAAACGGGATGTTCGCGAGCGTTGACACCATTAAGTCGTAGGTATGCTGATGGGATGAATTAGTATAAAAGTACAGGATGCGACAGACATGCGTGGATGGGGAAGCCTACAGAATAATATGGATTCAATAGCGTATGTGACGAGAGTGTAAAGTTTTGCCTTGTCTAGCAAGGGTAATTTGCTTGCGAATTCGGGAATGGTTTTTTGAATGAACGGAGCAACAGCATCTTCTATATCATCAATATCATCATCAAGTTGTTCGAGTAAAGACAAAATCTTAGTAGGGTCCATTGTGAATTTTTGATGGTGCAGCAGTAGGCAACTTAGGTAGTCGTAGCCGTAGTCGTAGTCGTAGTCGTAGTAGATATGGATTGAATTGGTATCTATTTGCTTGTCTCCTCTCTCTTGTCTCTAGTCTCTTGTTAGGTATTTGTGTTATTCGTATTCGTAATTTTCGAAACTTTCTTTGACCTTTTCTTAACCTTCAACAATTTTGGTAAAATATCCCGAAGCTGACCGGAAGAAAGCGGCCGCATCAATTGCATTTAAATTGATGTCTTCCAATTGGATTACACGTTGTCTTGCAGGGATGTTAAGATAAATATTCTTTCAAGTGCTTAATCAACATTTTTCTCGATTTTGGATATTTGAATTGTGAATGATATTTATTATTATTTACTTGAGTTCTTTCTCCAATATAACTTGCAACATCCGCCTCCTGTTCGTACATCTACCTACTTCCTCCTCTTTTTATCTTGTCCGTGTGCAGGGTTTACATGCGAATAGACTTCATTCTCTTTTATTTTATACTAAGCCGTAGCCTCAAATATATCTCGAGTTAGCTTCATTCCCCCCACTGAAAAGGAGCTATAACTTTCGCCCCATCCCATACAGAGTCAACAAAATTCTACCCTCCGTCATCATCCGTTCCAATCTACTCTTGTTTCCCTCTGCGGATGTGTACAGAGACGTGAAATCTGACTCCTTTGGTTTCGAGTGCAGACGATTGCAATAACGACAGAGTAGACATCTTGCTTCTGCTTGTCTGCCATGAGTTCATTTCAATAACCATTGAGAGTGTTCATCCTGTCTTTTCAAAGGTGCGGTCGTCCGCTGTGGCGGGTGCTTGCTCAAAACCCTCAAAATTGTCGATGGCTCTCAGGTAGCATTTCCTTGGGCCGGGTGGCCACTCGCACTTGGTCGAGGCAAAACGAGACATACTGGTGGCCAAGGCGGAAAGAAGGATTTTATGCCAGCTTGTCATGCGTCTGGGGTTCAGAGAGACACCCCACCACCAGCGGACCTTTTAGGAGTTATGGGAATAGTAGCAATGGAGTCAATGCAAGCGACGGGTGGTCAGACAACGATATCACGAATCAAGAAGGCAGACCCGGACATATTATACCCAATGATCCTGCATATGCTATGGATATACTCCTGCAGGATGAACAGGAACTGGACTCGTGCAGCGAGGAAGAAAATAATGCATCATTGGTCGAATCTGCCGGCTCGGATGGCTGTTTGAGATGGGAGGCTGACATGAAATTGTCGCCAGGAGTGCCACAGAGTAAGTTTGACACAGGAGAGCTTGCGAATCCTCATGTCTCTGAGCTTGGCTTTGAAAGCTCGTCTTCTTCATACTATCCAATCACAGATATGGAATTGACCGATCAGGAGTCAGCTGCAATGCCTTCTTACCACAATGGCCAAGAAACCCTGCAGCCAATTCAACAAGCCAACGTTCATTACAAATTACCATCTCAATATTCAACTCACCGAGAAGACAGGTCGATATCACGTACCATCCATGTCCTAGGGACAGGGCCTATTGGGCAATTCATTGCATATAACCTTGCTGAAATGGACTGTCCGCCGCCTATTACTTTACTGATGCATCGACCACTTTTAATCCAACAATGGCATCACAGTCAACAAGTCCTGAGAGTATTCAAGGATGGAATCATAAGGGAGCAGTCAGGTTTTAATGTTGAATTATCCGCAAGTTTCAATATTCCTGGGCCTGAGTCAGAAACCGGTACCACTGGGCACAGATTTGGATATACTGAGGATGTGATAGACAACCTGGTCATTACTACGAACGGGGACAAAACGGTGGCGGCACTCATGTCAATAAAGCATCGTCTTCGTCCTAATTCAACGATATGTTTTGTGCAACATGGAGCAGGTGTTATCGAGGATGTTAACAAACATGTTTTCCCGAATTTGCCAGATCGTCCTCATTACATGCTTGGAAATTTGTCTCATGGATTGTTTGCAACGGACCAACTATGGACCGTGGCTCAAACTACGCAGGGACAGCTTAAGCTTACCATTCCCACAACTGACACCAATGCCTCCGCCGATGGACTATTGTCTGAAAGTACAGATAGGAAGCTCTTGAACAACTGGGCCCCATCCTCAAGATACATGTTAATGGCACTAAGTCGATCTCCTCAACTTGAAGCCATAGGCTTAAACTACCCTGAGTTCATGAAATTTCATCTCGAATACATAGCCGTCAATTCCGTCATTGGGCCGTTGTCTGTCATCTTCGATTGCTCAAACGACCACCTCTTATACAATTTCCAAGCGAGTCAGACGATGAATTTCCTTTTAAATGAGATTTCGCAAGTTTTGAAAAATCTTCCGGAGCTTGCGACGGTCGCAAACGTTAATAAACGTTTTGGAAACCGCAGGCTAACAAGCATGGTATTATCTGTGCTTGCTCGCAGCGGGGAAAATGTGACATCTATGTTACACAACGTTAGAAAGGGAATGAAAACGGACATTGACTTTTACAATGGCTACCTCGCTCGACGAGCTAAAGAGCTGGAGATTCCCTTTACCTCAAATGAGCTAGTTATAAGTATGGTGAAAGCAAAACAAGCTATGAAATCCAGGGAAATGAATTCACATATACCCGTGGTTGATCGGAGATAGATGGGATGTTAGGCATGATGGAACAGGAACGGTGGGCGTGGGCTTGGTCATGTATTACTGTGTACGAATGTATGTTTATGTTAGAATTAGCAGCACCTGTATAGTACGTCTTAGGAATCTGATATGTCTGAGCCACCTACCAAAGTGACACTGCAAAGTATAGATTATAGATGAATGAAGATTGCACATATGCCTCTCTTACATATCTTAATCCTTGATGCAGCTACTTTATGCTACTGTGATGAGGCGGCGAGGAGGTTAAAGAGTTACAGGAAAGTGGCAGCGGCGACGAATGAACGGTATTTCTGTCGCTCCCGGGAGCCTCTTGTGAGGATTCGATTTTCAACCGGTGAACTCTGGTGTGAAGTATCCAGCATCCCCGGATGCTCATCAGAGATATTCGATCAAAATCCAATCGACCTTTTGATTGTCTAAATACAGATAATGTAAAAGTATGAATCAGGTCAAAGTCATTATATGTCAGCATTCACTTATTTACACTCATTCATTCATCATTGTTGTGGTGTGGTTGGTAGGTAGTCTTTTTAGCTCAACGAGGGGGTAATCATTAATCATGGGCCTTCGCCAAACTTTTGGGGTTACAGTCAGTAGAACCACCAAACCCACCACAAGGCTGATACTGATTACCGCAAAGTACAACACCCCTCCCTCATTTTCTTCAACCAGAAACAAACAAAAACCACACAATCACCGACCTGAAATATGGAAGACGACGATTTAGCACAAGTGGGTCATAATAACCAAATTTACCATGATTCAAAATTAATTGTTCTTCAGATCAGAAAAGCTCGACTTGAGCAACTGAAATCCCAAGGCGGAGGCGGTGGTCGACCAGGCGCGGCAAGTGGCAGCGGAGGACAAGACGAGGGCAGACAGTGCGTGCGCTTTATGCTCCTGTACATATAAATAAGTCGCTAATGTTTTGTGCAACAGGCAGCAAGAAGAAGCGGCTCGTCAATCTATCCTGACACAAATCCTCGAACCCGAAGCTGCAGATCGTCTAGGTCGCATTAGACTTGTGAAAGAGTCCAGAGCTGTTGATGTGGAAAATCGATTGATTATGTTGGCGAGGTCGGGTCAGTTGAGACAGAAGATTACGGAAGAACAATTGAAGGATTTGTTGAGCAGTGTATCCGAAGCCCAAGAGAAAGAAGAAAAGATTGTAATTACCAGGAGGAAAGGCGCTTGGGATGATGATGATGATGATCTTTTAGATTTATAGTTTGTGGTTGGGAAATTTGGGAATGATTCAGCGAGGAGATGTCCCAAGAATGGAATCTATAATGCTGGGACAATCTTAGGCCTCCGAGGAATAGGAGTTAATATTGCGAGGTTTAGGGAAACCTTTACCACTATAACATCGAATTACTATGGTATCAAGTCTTCCTCAAATTGCTTTTTGGGCCTTTTCTCTCTCCTTCTCCGCCCGCCTAATTTCTCTAAGGTCGAGGGGCTTCTCAATGCCTAACTCCTCTCTCAATTCTTCAACACTCCTTTCCAACTGCTCCTCCCAATAGACATTGATAAGCTCGTCTGCTTTCAAGCCATTCGTTAGCGCCCAAGGTGCATAAATCGTGAAGAATCTCCTCCTCTCTGCTGGCTTCAAGGACATCACCGCAAACATACTCAAGCCCGTCATGGGCAACAGAGTATTAGCAAACTCGAAGGCCTTAAGCGCCACTTCGCCTTCCCGCACAATAGGTAACCCAGTTATAGCGTGGTAGAAATCATGACATTCGCGATAACGCTGCATAACATATGCACATTCTTCATCATCAATGTATTTTACTGAATCTCGTGTATCGGGCGAGACTCCTTCACAGTCCAACCAATCTGCGTAGCAGCGGCCCACGGCGTTTGTGGGGAGCGTCCGGAGATGTGGCATTGAAAGAGTTTTGGAAGATATGCGAGGGCGATCACGTAAAATACGTCGGCCTGTGGGAGAAGAAAGCATGGCATCACGGAGACGGTAAATGAAATATGGTGTTGCGGTTGCTTCTCCGCAAGCTGCTATAAGATCTACTTCACCAATTAGTTGTGACCAAATGTACATTACAATTATTTAATTCATACCTGCACGATAAGGGTTGAAGAATGCCATAATTGCTGAGCCTACAGCCAAACCACCGCGCTCAATGGAAGTGAGTGGTACATGGCCTGGATAATTTGGAGTTGGACGACGTAATACACTGAAGCTTCTTGTAGCTATAGTTATTGAGCAGACAGTAAGTAGCTCCCTGGGAAGACGGGCTGCCTGGGTATATAGACGTGGAGACAGAGAGAGAGACATACTTCAAAAGGTTCTTAAATATATTGTGCCTTCTTGATACTGAGGGCATAGATATTGTATTGTAACCTTTGTGAGAGCTTCAGTTGCATTACCTGCCGCCCTTTCATCAGAAGAGCTCTCGGCAAAAGCAGCACTAGAAGAAGACTCAATCTACCAGTCCGTACTTGGGCACAATGAAATGAATGACACTTGAGTTAAGGAGGTATGATTGATCTCGAAAACGGATATTTGTGTTAGCAAATGCCTATATCTAGTAGTTCTAGGTAAAGCTGGTGGAAAATATTCACATAATGGATCGATCTCATAGCACACACTCCGATCTCCTACAACAAGCAGATTCTTCGTCCAGCTATAGTGCGAACATGGACATGCAAGTACATGAAGAGTTTACAAAATGGGCTGTTGATCATGGCGCCGTCATCAATGGAGTCTCGCCGTTCCGATTTCCAGGAAAGGGTTTGGGACTGGTTGCGAACAAGAATTTCGAGGTACAAGAGCTGCAATGGATTGTTATACCTCTTTCCAAATATTCCTGTGCGTGCTAATCTATAATAGATAGGCAATACTCTAGTGCGAGTGCCCATAAAGGTGCTTCGTAAATCTACAGATGTGCCTTCTCACTATTCCGCGTTGGCACCAGATATAAATGTTCATGCTCTTCTAGCTCTGACCTTAGATTCTCTGCTTGGACCAGAATGGAAAGCCGCCCTTCCTTCCAAACAAGACATGCATAGCTCCATGCCTTTGTTTTGGGATCCCTCGTTATTGGAGCTTCTTCCATACTCAGCGCAAACTCTCCTCAAAGTACAAAAAGAGAAGATCGGCTCCGCCTGGACAGTTATCTGTAAATCGTTCCTGGAACCACCAATATCGTACGATGAATTCATGTACAACTATAGTATTGTCAACAGTAGAACATTTTATTATCTCTCACAGACTATCAAATCTTCTAAACTCCAGCCCCCAAAGGAGGATCGCCTTGCGTTAAACCCTTTCGCAGACTATATGAACCATAGTTCAGAACCCACGGTTAATGCGACCCTTAGTCGCGCTGGCTACACATGTGAGCAAAATCATTCCTTCAGTGTTTCAGTTCCTTACAATCTCTACCGCCGTTCTCCTTCTGATCTCATGTTATACATATATACCTTGCACCTTTAATGAAGATGTGCGCCTAGGCTCTCATCATCAACCATCACTAACCCTAAATTTCTAGTCACGGCCTCACAGCCGATAAAGGAAGGTTCCGAAGTGCATATCTCATACGGAAGTTACAACAACGATTTCTTACTCGTCGAGTACGGGTTCATACTAGATGGAAATTGTTGGGATGAGGTAACCTTGGATCCATGGATAACACCCTTGCTGAATCCAGACCTAAAAGAAAACCTCAAAGAAATGGGGTTTCTTGGTAACTACCTCTTGGATCGAGACACTATATGTTACCGCACGCAGGTAGTCCTACGAATTCTCTGTCTACCATTAGGAAGATGGAAAAGATTCGTACAGGGGTTGGAAAGTGAAGAAGTATCTCAAGAGGCGGCGGACAAAGTTCTGCTCCAAGTGCTAATGGTTGGCATGGCAGACGTCATGGAAACAATCAAGAGGATAAACAAAAGTCATGCAGGGCTGGATTATCAGAGGGATACGTTGGATAGACGCTCAAACCAGCTTGTTTTGTTGTTGGAGGGGGCGTTGAATCGAATAAAATGCTGAAGCTCACCAAGCTCACTTTGATTATATGATGATCTTCTCGATCTCCTTTAATTTCAAGACGTGTCTTTCCCATGTTATTTTTGTCGCCTTTCAACGTCTATTCGATTATTGGTCTATCTAACTACGACGGTGGTATTTCTAGCAAATCCTGTCATCAGTCAATCTGATGATTTCTGTCTCACTAAAACAGCACGATGCACTGCTCTAGACACTAAATACTCAACCAAATGCGCTTTGAGAAGGGAGAGCACTGCTAACTCCCGGAGAGCTTTGCTTAAGAGATGGAAGAAACAGTGAGAAAGAACAAGAAATGAATAGTTAAAAGAGAGCAATTATCTGACAGCTCAGAATACATCCATCGCGTAAATCGCACTTCTATGGTACAAGCTTTATTTCGAAATACAGTCAAGAACTGAAAGTGCTCATTATTCCAAATGTCAAATATGCCATAACCCCAATGCCAACGCCCTTTCCATTCTCCAGTTTTGTGTATTTCGAGGTGTAATCATGAAATTTTATACTCAACTTTGAATCTACCTCATTCTGGTCTTGGTCTTTTGGCGCCGTGGGGATTTTGCCAATCGCCACCAGCATTTTGGTTTTGTTGGAAAAACGCAGGATTAAAATGTGGTTGCATAGGTTGAAAACCGTTCCCACCTAATTGTTAAAGTCAGTCATGAACGTGATATCTTTATGTAGTACTTGTGATCATTCAGCAAGAGAGTTCCTGTACGTACCTTGCATTCCCCCTCCCATCTGTGCCATGTTTCCCATACTCATAGGCATACCCATCCCTCCCATGCCGCCCATTGGCATCCCTCCCATAGGCATCGCTCCCATCATACCATTTGCCATTCCTCCTCGACCTCCTCTCATACTTCCAGGTCCACCGCGCATGCCACCCATCATTCCTCCACGGTTAAATCCGCCAAATTGATTTCCCATGGGATTTCCCTGAAATCCTCCGCTCATTGAAGAATTAAACCCACCACCCATAGATCCTCCTGTTCCGGAAAAGTTGCGGTTGAAATTGCCTTGATTTATGTTGCTGTTCATGCCTCCACGAGAGGAGCTATAACCACCACCACGACCACGGAAATTACCACCAAAGTTACCTGTACCGTGACTGCCCCGCTCACTGTTGTAACCTCCTGGTCCCGAGCTCGATCGGCTATTTTGACCTTCTTTAGCGGCACGAGCAGGCGCGTCCTTGGGTAAAGTACGGAATGGATTGACATTTGGGTTGTGGTATGTAACTGTCTGCTTCTTGACATATTGTTGACCTTCGCCGAAAGCGTCAATCTTTCGTTTCGCTGCAGTTGCAGCTTGTTGGGACGTAAATTCCACGTAGGCTTGTCTGTGCTTAAAGTCAGTGGAGGTTCAGCATTTTCAGACTTTGGTGTATGGTAAAATACCCCTTGCTTTTCCCGTTAACTTTATGTTCAGAAAAAGTCATTTCCTTCAGCTCATCTTCCACCTGGGCCTGATTGATCCAACCCCGGACATCATCATCGGTATTCCACCAATGCAACTCGGATATGAGCAAGGCCGTAGTCGCTCCTTGATCGATTGGACGATCATCGGAGCCCTCCTTTCTTTTTACACCTTGTTGTTGAGGGGCCTTTTTGGGTATGTTGAGAAGATCTTGCCCGGATTCATCGGTACTCTTTATTTTCTGATGGCCTTCGATGAGCTTATCCTTCTCATGACTAACCTTAATATCTACGTAATCGTCATCTTGGTCTTCGTGTTTACCATTAGTCTCGGTGACTGGGGCGATGGAAGCTTCAACACCATCAATCTTAACATCACCTTCGTCATCTCTTTTGAAGATTGCATCTTGTTCAGTGTTGGTATCTCCATAGATGTCAATGTCGAACTCGTCGTCAGCCATGGCGTCTGAATGTACACACAAGGTACCTCAACTTTTAAATAAGAAGGTGAATCTTGGCTGAAAAATGATGTCTTGTATTGCTTATGAACAGTTTTGGGTTGATGTTATGCCACAGGAAACTGGATTCTATGAGAAGATAGCAACAGGATCAGCGCGTGAAAACAGAAGGGCCATTAGATGGTAGAGTTCAACGCGTGTGTAGCATTGGAAATAGAGTTCGAAATACATGGGATAGAATTCAATGAATACGTACACTCCTAAAACCTGGAGGATATTGCCAACAAATGAGGTCAAAGTCTGAGAGCCTTCTTTGGCAACTGCAGACAGAATGGAGATGAAAGACAAAGCTCTGTGCTTGCAGTCTCTTTAGATTTCTGATGTAAAGAAGCCCAACAGATTGATCAACAGCCTATGCCGAGATATTGGAAGAAAGAGGCGAGGCAAGAAAAACGCGATCCAGCCTGAAATTGAAAAGCAGAAGTGAAGATGTCAGTTGTCCAAATTCCTTATTCATGAAAAGCAGCAGCACAGAGTAACCGAAGCCTTGCTGTACAATTCCGTCCTTCCCTCAAATGCCCTCCACGTCGAATACTTATTTATTTATTAAAATTTCCGAAAATAAAGACGAGTGTTGGAGGCCAAGATGAAGAAAGATGGTAATCGATTGGCTGCGACCAAATTCTCCAGTCGATGTAAAGCTTCGCAATTCGTTACAACCCTGAGGTGCAGCGCAGTGCTTGACAACTGTAAGTCGAAAAGTGTGTCACTTGTGTTCGGCGGAGGTAAAATCGGACTGTTAAATCGAGAAAGATCTATTCTTATACTGTTGAATTGGATTGGAGAGGACTGATAGTTGAGATAACTCCGTATAGTATTTAAAATATTGGTCGCGATAATGCGATGTTGATGTCGTAGATACTAGGTAGATAGGTAGATAGGTTGGTATCCGAAGGAATAGAAGAAAGATTGATGATCTAAGAGAGCATAGAAGTAGTGAATGAAAGATGAACAGAAAGGAAGTTGTACTTGCTCGTAGAATTTCTTTCTTTCATTTCTCTCTTCTCCATTTGTTGTTTCGTTCGTTCGTTCGCGCGCCGCTGAGCTATCAGTCAATGCCCAGCGCAGGGCTATTTTGCTATTTGGGTACAATTGCTGTTCCCTGGCTAGCCCACTCAAGTAGCTTAGATAAGCGAAAGTCAATATTGGCCTGAGGATCAATATTTCCCACCCAGTGGTCAGCTTATTAGTAAGCAGCTACTACCAGCTAGCTTTCACTTTTCCATCATTCTCATTGGATCAATTAACATGCTTAATTTCTTGAGGCTTCCTTATCTGGCTTCTTCGAAATTCACTAATAAGTAAGTACGACTGTAATAATTCTCAACTACCTACCTACTACTTAGTTATATCAAGAATTAAATCCGATCTGTTCCTGTACTTCATACCTCCTCATCTCTCCACCTCAACTTTTTCACAAAACAAACATGGCAGACCAACTTCAGGAGTTTATGGATGTCCCAAAAGACTTTATCAAAGATGGTACTCAATTCATCAATAAATGCACAAAGCGTAAGAATCCTCATTTGCCGTTCTTAATAGCACCTCCATATTAACACATTATAGCTGATCGTCGCGAGTTCATCAACATCGCCCGAGCTGTCGCTATGGGATTTGTCATCATGGGCGCCGTCGGATATATCGTGAAATTGATCCATATACCACTCAACAACATATTGGTCGGTGGCGCGTAGTTGGGCGATGGACGATGGACAATGGATAATGGTTCCTCAGCCCCGGTGACGTGGCTAGTCATTGGAAATGAGGCATGGCATTGAATCGAGCGAAGGCGAGCTGAAGCAGCATGGGCAGGATTGGCAAGAGGGGAAGATGGGGAAGATGGGGAAGATGCTGGCGTACAATGGATGGAGTTTCACGAAATCTAAGGATGTATTATATTTGGCATTGGTGGGCAATTACTGTTCTTGGCATTGCCTGCATCTGGAAAAATTGGTTTTGCACGTGCAAAAGTGCCTGCGACTACACAAAATGATATCCGGCACATTACCAAAAAACTTCGTGGTATATTATGAGACTTTTTTCTACCGCATATCGTTGAATGAGAGTGAGGGTGGAGAATCGATGGGCGTTTTACATGATTCAAAAATGATAATTCGTTGTGTGTATTAGGAAACACTATAGACCCAAGTACCTAGCTATGATTATGGTTGTACCTCCTTGCATCCATGTATCTATTTACTCCCATGTTTGTAGAAGAAGGGAACGGCGGATATTGATTCTTGATATTCATACCACCTTGAAGACCAAATGTAGCCCGAGGTTGAAAGTCTTGAAAATCACAAGCTTGAGACATACAGATATAAATACAGTCAGTATAAATGAAAGTATATATCGAGTTTTATTAAAATATATATAATATAACTTATTTAATAAATAAATAAATAATGATATAATAAAAGTATAACAAAATACTATATTATTTTATTAATATAAAAAAAGTATTTAAAGTTTAAAATTAAAATATTTTAATAAAATTGTGACGATCTGGTCGAGGCAGCGGCTGCCTGAGGTTTCGTATGGTTGGTAGTTGTGGGTTAAGGCTATTAATCATTGGTTATCCATTTGAAAGTGAATTCGTTACTAGATCAATTGGAATGTAGGTAAACTAATTGATAACTAAGTTGAGCATGAAGCTTCTAAACTATGAAATTATTCTGATTATATATTAATGAATAAAAAGGAGCTTTGTAAAGCTCAAGAGCTCCAAAAAGCTTCTAGAGTTCTAGAAGCTTTCCAAGCTCCTAAAGCTCCTCATCACATGATTGATCCTGAAACCTCTCCTTTCCTGGAACACTTATCCCAAAAGCTTTCCTCTAGGAACTATAGCCCTAGGATACGATATCCTCTAAAATGATTGTCCTATTACAATTGATTAATTAAAACACTTGTTCTATTCTAATATAATTGCTTAGGATACTTATCCTAGGAATCCCGGGGTTCTATTCGTAGATGATTAGGCCCCCTGAAAGCAACGGTTAAATCACACCCCCCTTGTAGTCGGTATGTAAATCACCGATATCAATAATACTACTATAATCTAATCCGTGAATCGTGACAAAAATATATTTAAAAATAAAAATAAAATAAAAATTTTAATTATATAAATGTATATATATAACTTAAAACATTCTATTAATAAAATAATAAAATATATATATAAATTAATTATCTATTATAACGGTGAATTATATGACTTTTGGAAAAGGGTTCTTTAAAATTAATATATTTATAAGAACGTCGTTATCTTGTCGGATTTAATATCGGTGCTACGGGATTAACAATGTTCTGAGGTTACTAATTACTGATAAGGATCGGACTTTATTCATACATCCCTACATGCTCGAGTACCCCACTAGTAGAGCCCCACCTCTCATGATATCACCAACACCATCAATAATCTTACACTTACATCCATCCATACATACATCCTACTTCCCTTCCTACCAATACCAACCAATATATATAATTTATATATATATAATTAGGTATATATGATAGTAAGCTTTAATTTTGTTACATCTGGAGTGTATTCAAATTTCTACAAATTACTTGTACTGATTGAAATGGTTTAGTCCAAATCTGCCAGCAATAATCCCTCTGTCATCCATATCTATCAACTGCACTTGAAGTGCACCAAGTAGTGCATTATCATACCTACTTCTTTGCCACCTGCTTTGTTCTCCGCCAGCAACAATAATATTTCACAAATACGATTTCATCATTTCGCTTCAAACAGGCATTGGAGGAACAGCCACTGATACACCCGTCCTTCATCACATTCATGGCCTCTCCGAGAAACGTACCGGGAGCCTTTCCGTCAGATAGCTCAACAGCCGGAAATGAGGCAGGAGATGATTTAGAAGTTGCCCATGAGGATACAGACGACGAGGATGAAAATGAGGATATGGAGGAGGATGCCGAGGACGATGACGATGACGAAGCTGGTTTTGGTAGGTTCATGCCAATCACTATTTTGCAAAATCTCCCAAGAAATCTTTGCTGATACTTCGCTCGTCCTTCAGATGTGCAACTTGAGATTGAGGACGACGAAGACGATGTAAACGACGGTGCGACTGCAGTCAATCACGGTGAGCCTTACACATCCTTCACCTTGCTCCAAACCATCTGGCTTATACTTCGGTTGCATTTAGCTACACGAACGCAATACCTTCTACGTGTGTTAGCTGCCGGCGCCGATGTTCGGGGTATGATACGTTTTCCCGCCGACTTTGACGAGGACGAGCTTGCTTTGTGGCCACGAAGGCGGAGGAGAAGCATGCTAGACCCAAATAGGTTCCCGAAAGTGCCCAGTGTTGTTGGAGAGGAACTTATGGCTTCGGGTGATTTTGGTTCCAACGATGCTCAAAGTCCGAGCAAATATGCTCAAAGTGTAGGCACGGATAATCAGGTCAGGAGGCGAAAACGCTTGACTAGAAAAATATTAGATCGTGAAATTGCATCAGGGAACTTTGTAAGCCAGGGGATAAATCGGAGAGTAATGGCACAAGTAAGCAGCACAAGGCAGATTTCTAGGCAGTATGCTGACAAAACCGCAGGAAATGTTACCGTCCTCCAATGCAGATACCATAATCAATTACGATGATCCCGTATATTCAGGTCAATTTTCAGATGATGGCAACTTCTTCTTTGCCGTGACCAAGGATTTTAAAGTCCGCATGTATGATACATCAAATCCTTACAACTGGCGATATTACAAGACTGTCATCTATCCTTATGGACAGTGTAAGTACAGCCTTCTTATGTCTAAGTGGGTAGACTGGTTTTCAAATAATTGATTATCCCGTTACTACATTTAAATTTTTCCGAGCCTCCCAATACTGCATGTATATCGAGAGTTAACGGCTAGTAGGGACCCTTACTGATGCTTCGCTGAGCCCTGACAACAAATATCTTGCTTATACCTCCATACGGAGCACCGTTTGTCTCGCTCCGACGGATCCAAATGACATGGGAGATCCTTATAACCTGGAGCTCGGAGAACCTAGAACTGCACAAAATCCCAGGTTTGAACGACGGGGGTCGTTTGGTATTTGGTCTATACGATTTTCTGGTGATGGACGTGAGCTTGTTGCCGGAACTACAGGTGGTTCTATTGTAGTATACGACATAGAAAGCCGCCGCCCGCTGCATAGGATTTTTGGACACGAAGAAGATGTTAATGCGGTATGTTTTGCCGACAAATCGTCGCCTCATATTCTTTATTCTGGATCCGATGATACAACCATCAAGGTATGGGATACTAGGAGTATGAGTGATAGTCGAGAGGCGGGCGCATTCATTGGTCACATCGAGGGATTAACGTATCTCGATAGCAAAGGAGACGGTCGTGAGTTTTCCATCCCTGAATGTCAGAGATCAGCACGCTGAAATGATCCAGGTTATATCCTCAGTAATGGCAAGGATCAGAGCATGAAGCTGTGGGATTTACGTATGGTCATGAGTTCAGCTCAATTTTCTAACATTAGGGCGAATGGACGTCGACCTGGGACAAACTTTGATTATCGATGGGGAGCTTATGATGAAGATGATTGGTACCACGATGAGAACGATAATTCTTTGGTCACATTCAGAGGTCACAAAGTAATGCGAACTTTAATAAGATGTCATTTCTCTCCACCGGGAAGTACCAATTCAAGATATGTCTACTCTGGAAGTGAGGACGGTAAGGTTTACATATGGAACATGGATGCAACGCTCGCAGGCAAGGTCGACGTTTTCCAAGCAACAAAAAACACAAGGCCACCCCCTTCTGACCAATGGCATGGAGGATGGCATGGTGGATGGCACAATAATTTGGACGAAGTAAATAACCCAAGTTGGAAGACTGTCGTTAGAGATGCTAGTTGGCATCCTACTGCTCCGATGATAGCTGGTGAGTCCCCTGTTTCTAATGGTACTCCTTTTTTTAAGCTAACCATTTCCAGCATCTGCGTGGAACGGTTATGGTACTGAGCAGGGCACCGTCACTACCCACTCTTGGAATGAGGGTGCTGAAGATGATGAAGCGGAGCCTAAAATGGGATGGAGGGTGGATGCGAAGTTACAACCTGATCCCCGTCTTCATGAGAGTCGTACGAGAGCCGTCAGAAGATTTGGACACCTCAGGGCACTCTCGCCAGACTCCGAGGATAGTGAAGATGACGATGACGATGATGACAATGACGAAGACAACTAGGGCACATCTGGAAGGAAAATCGTGAAACACAGGTTGGATGATAGTTCTTGAGAGCTGGTTGTGTATGGTGCGTTACATCATTTACCGCGTTTTCTCAATATCACACCACCGAGAGTTGTGCTATCTAGAGCTGTAGTCAATTGTATTTTAACCGTGAAAATGCTTCGCCTTTTCATCCTACAACTACGTAACTCTAGACCAAAATCTCATTATAATATATTACAAAAGCTAATATTTATTATTAACAAATAAAGATTTAAATGAGAGAAATATGACTGTAACACTGCCCTACCTATCGTGTGAAAAGTCGCACGACTAACAATATAATAAAGAATTATGAGACAACTTCCGTCGTTCGGCAGCTATCTAATCCAGAAGCGTATGAATATGGGGTGGGTGATGTTTTGTGGGATTGCTTCAGTAGATAGTAAATCAAACATTATGGTAAGGTCTCGCAATTATCTCTTCAGTGCGTTGGATGGCGTCTGTTAACTGATCATGGGGTCCATGAGTGGTGTTCCAGTAATCGAGAAATATCCATCTCGCCAATGTTAGGGAACGGGGGAGCAGCAATATTATCTGTCCAGTCAAAAGACTGCGAGAATGCTAAGCTATCCGTAGGCTCCATGGTATGCTGTTTTGTTATTAATGGAAGATTATTTCAAGGATGTCATTAGGTGAGATGGTGACTGTACCTTCGATATCTCATTATTCAAACTAAATGTGGCTGGATCGATTGTAGTAGTATTATTAGATGCATAAGAAAAGTCATCAATCTGAGCAGGTTTGCTTTGAGACGCTATCCGATCATCGTCGTCCTCCTCGATTCGAAACAGGTCGGGATGTATGTTCCGAAAACGATCTCTAAGATCAATAGGTTGTCGGCTCTGAAGATTGAACTGAGGATCTCTCTGCATCCGTGTCCAAGCAGGCCCATAAAGACGATAGCCTTCTTCAATTTCAAGATCTTCCTGGTTGGAAAAAGGACGTCTTTCTCTCCGCTCTGACTGTTTGAACGGCCCTTGAATCCCTAGCTTTTGAAGATCTGTGAGTCTTTTCCGATGGTTTCGGCGCTTTCGCGAGGGCCTCAACAAAGGAGGAAAGGCGGAGTCTGGTACAGTACCATCGGCCTCTTGATCTTGTCCAGGTAGATTACTATCAGGCGGAGAGTCCAAAGTTACCATTTCTGTTCTTGACTGGTCGGCTATATTATTTGACTTTGATCCGGTCTTGCGGCTCCTTGATTTGTGGCTTTCTCCTCTCAACTCATCTGGACAACAAGTTCTAAATCGATCCTTCAAATCCACTCCTGATCTATTGTTAAATGCGAAACTGGGATCTTCTAAGATCTCCATCCATTTTCCCACTCCATATTTATGCACACCGAGTAGCAAATTGTTCGTCTCGTCCTCGGACCACTTGTTCCTCGCCTTGACGCTCTTCCTCCTCTTCTTTTTATTTCCGTTCTGTACCAATGTCTCTTCGATCGCTTCTGTAATTCCATCGTCCGTCTTAAAATCCTCTTGCGTTCCTGTAGCCTTTGGAGCCAAAGCATTCAAGCTATTTCTCCCGTGGCTATCATGAAATGAACTCGATGCGATCGGAGGAAATAAGGCAGCCTGCGGGGGCGGTTCATGCAAGCCAATGATAATAGGCGGTACCACTTGTTTGTTTGACCTTTGTTTCTTGTGCGGCCGGGGCAGTTGAACAAAATCATCGTTTCCATTCTCTCTCCGTTGTTGCTTCTTGGGGTTTGCGGTCCTTGTGTTGCCATTATTGTTGCCATTATTGTCATCTAGAATCTTTCGCAAAGATTGTGGAGAGGAAGCACCCAAAGTCCGCTCCATGGCACCAATTTCGTTTCCTGAGCTCACATTTCCTATCCTCAAAACCTCTTCAGCGTCCCGATAATTGGTCTCATTATCGTCAATTGAAGTAACGGATGACGAATGCTGCGATGCTTGTGATGATGATCCACCGGATCGTGTGCCAGTATTGCGTTCCAAAAGAAGTAACCGGGGGGTTGTCTGTAGGATATTTCGATCATGCAATGTAGGGAGTCCTAATGATGGAGAGTTTGGGAGGGATTCAGGCGAGTCGTTATTGTTATTAAGGAAGGACATTAAACGGGGCTCAATAGTTGTACGCATTATTTACCATTGAATTATTGGGAATGATAGAAAGACAGCATAATGTTTTGTTCACTTGAGAAAATAAACATGCAGTAAGACAAAAGAAATGGTCGGGAAGAAGGGAAAGAAAGAGTAGTAGAAGTAGAAAGTAAATTAATGATATTATAGTGTGATGAATGTTGAGTTGTTTCGATATTAACAGTGATACGATGATGCGCCCGACAATCAAGAATAATTAGTAGTGTAATTAATTATCTTCAAAAGTAGTCTGATTATAATTTGAATATAAATATCCAAAAAAGAAATCTTACCTAGTACTATTTTAGTTTTATTTTATTTTATTTTATTATTATATTTAAATAAATAACATTTTTAAAATAAGTATAATTATTTAATACTTTTAAAAGGTTAATTATATAAAAATTTAAATTACTTTAATATAATGTCTGTTATTTAAATACTTCTTTTTGGGGCGTGGGTGGGGTGTTTCATGCATATATAACAGTAAACATCAAACTACTTTGAAAGGCTATCTAAATAGTGGAACATAGTTAGTACAAAACTATCAAAGTGTACATACCACTTTCTCTGCAACGATACCTCAACGCCGGCAAAACACGACATCTCAGCAAGCATGACTTCGATCTTGCCCCCTTTCCCGAAGTTTGTCTTCGCCATCTTCGAGCCTATTTCACTGTAAGTTGACATCTACGACTTTAATTTGACTTACTCATCGAATCATAGTGTGGCTGGTTTCATGGGCGCAATGATCTTCCCTGAGTGGTTTATCGAGGAGCAAATTGCATCTTCGCATCATGTATCTATCGGTGATAATGCACGGCTTGTTGCTCTACAATTAGGCAATATTTACCTTCTACTGGCCATGGTAGGGGTTGCAGTTCTTTACAGCACGCAAGAGGCAAAAGTCGTCAGGAATTATCTCATTGCTTTGTGGCTGGCTGATATTGGCCATCTTGCTGTCACCTATCATGTTTTGGGATGGGATAGCGTCGTGGATGTCGCCCAATGGAATTCAATGACTTTTGGAAATATAGGGGCAACGGTAAGACCACTCCCAGTCGGTACCTTCACCGTAGCTGTACGATTCAAAGTCTAACTGTAGCAGCTGTTCTTGTTCTTGACGCGATCAGCATATCTTCTTGGCATGTTCGGCCCAGGTAGAAAGAGCACCACAAAGCTTGCTTGAGTCGAGCCACACTTTCAAGGGTAACAAAGGCTAGATGGAGAGGGAGATCACAAGATCGGTATAGCCAGGCCAGCCAATAAATAATTTCACGTTGGATGAGGGTGGCGTATGTTCTAGTCACAACAGTGGCACATCGCATGTTTTGCGAGAAGGTCGTTACAAATCATCGTTCAACCGTGCCCAAACATCTAGATGATCACTCAGTAGGTATCAATCTTAAACCCTAATGTTCAATTCACCAGTCTAGTAAAGTGATAAACCCTGTTCTTGCCAACGAACCTCTTAATCGGCTGAACATTTTGGGACTAAGTAGAGAACTATTCCCTCCACTTTTCAGTTTCCTGCGCCAAACTACTGTCATCTCAAACCAAAAAGGATCGGTGTCTTATTTTGGGACGTAATTCGGCAACTCATGAGCATCGGACACGAAAAAGCTATTCCGTCAGGAAAGCTCAACTGAAAAAATTCATTACCAACGCACCCATTTGGGAGCACATATAAGATCAGTAGCTGTATATTTCTTTGCTGTGTTGTAATTTATGACACAATAGTAAAGTCGTTGTCTCGATGAATTTCAATTGCATATGCCCCAGGATGTTACGTGGCAGACCTACACAGCAATTTTATGGAGAAGCTGAATATGTATCTCACACATATCAATCATCTCCATCATGATCATCTTTCCGGGGTTCAAAATTCAGCTGTTGTCAGTATTAGCCTGGTCTTTGCAGCACGGGCAATGCAATTGTCTTCCAACTTACGGTGTTCCCATTGTACAACTCATGATGAGCGTCATTAGCGTCATTATCATTCTGGTCTCTGAGAGTTCTCAGGTTCGAGGGACGACTACCTCCTGCTGTCGCGCTGGCCTCAGTCCCCTCATCCATACCTGGGGCGACTGCCGGACCTCCAACGATTCCGCCGATAGTGGACAGCACCCTATTAATGCCCCAAGTGCCCAGACCGTATCCAGCAGCAATTCCTCTAGACAAGATGCCCCTTGGTTCTGTTGCCTCATAGGCTGAAGTGTACGCCTGAACGGGAACAATGATGAGACTATTACTTCCATGTCAGTGATAGAAAACACAGCGCAAGGCTGCATAGATCATGATGGAAAATACTCACGTAGCGCTCGGGAAAAGGCCTAATGCTGCCAAGTCTCGACTTTCATCCGTCATCGAAAGGGCTTTATTTGGTAAGGGGGTGCAAACATGTTTGAAAATATAGGGCACGTCGTCTTTTTGGTGATCATCAATCCACTAGTAGTTGTCAGCATTGCCACTATCTTTGCATAAGTTACAGATTCTTCAAGATTCAAGGTGTCGGATACGCCAATGACATATCACGGCGTCTTGATTAGTTTTTCATGTTACCTTTCTGACATCACCATTTAGAGTACTGGTGTTAGGAAATTTGGAGCGAATGGAGGATCCATCAAAAAGTCTTATCTGAAGGGCACAGTCCTGTGCCTTTGGTGCTGAAGCTGGAACAGATGAGTTCGTGCCGCTGAATGCAGCAGATTGCTCGGTCAATTGATTGTTACGGTTAGCCTTGCGCTCTGCATCCTTCCGCCTTCTTACTTTGTCGCTCTCAACGAGTGCAAGAATGCGCACTCGCTCTTCTCTAGCCTCTTGATGCCGCTTCCTTTGAATGGCTGCATAATTTGCGGTGTCCGCAGCTTGAGATGGTTTTTTAGTCTGATCTTCCACATTGCTTTTGGTATCTTCAGGTGGATCACCTCTAGGATCTGTGGGAAGCGAGCTAGAGCTCGATGTATTATTGCTTGTGGATTGGAAAGGAACTGTAGAGCCATCGTTGAAATCGCCAGTGGATGGATGACCTGAAGATTGTTGATTTTGAATGTCCGTCGTACGGTGTTCTGAAGTCTGCAAGTGGCTTGTTATATTTTCAGACATTGGGCGATCGTTCTCTACGTTTCCCCGGCTGTGTGCAGACTCCAAGGCCTTGCCAAGACGCACCAAAAACTCCTGTTTGGTTGTGCCTGCAGCTAGATACTCTTTGAGTTCACCACTCCTATTAATTTTAGAGTCAGTCTCGCCAGAAAGAGAAACTACCTGAGTGGACCTAAGCAACAGGTCACGATATACCTGATTGGAGCACAAAAAGCTGTTCCTGGGAACCAATATTCCAGCGCAATATGAGCAGGGGACAACCGATGTTTTCGATCACACCCGAAACTCTGAAAAAGGCGACAATAAATTTAAGAGTTTACGGCTCGGCTATGTGACTGTGCCAACTTTCATCACACTCTTCTCTTTCATAGAGATTGGCATATATTGAATGAAAAAGAATGATTTGATGGTGCTTACCATATAGCGACAAGAGTTGGAGCTTTGGGAATAGGAAAGATTGCAGCAAGATAGTTGGCTTCTTCAGAACCAAAGTCCAGGCGCAACAGGACTGATCTTTCTTGCAGCTGAGAGCTTAACTAGACAGTAACTAAGCATGCTGTAGTATCAAGGTGGGATGGATCAAGGTCACGAAATTACCTCGGAATCTTGTAAGAAGTCATCTTCCCAGAGTCGACTTTCCTCATTACCATCTATATTGCGCACCTTGTCATTATTTGAATTCAAATAAACATGAGAATAGTAGGAAAGGGAAGGGAAGAGAAGGGAAGGGAGGGGAATAGAACATCATTTACTTGTTACGAAACATGCAACAAGTTTAGATTCAGCCAAAGCCTTGTTGATACCACTGTTGAGATCACCGGTGTGAAACATTGTCGCAAGTAACACGTACTGATTGAATTATGAGTACTAAGGCCTAGCGTAAGTACTTTATATACTTAAGTATTATATCACGTGTATGAAGTACCCAATGCTTACATAATGGACCCTGCCTCATGTGGCAAATGAAAGTGGAGTGCTCAAATGATCTGAGCCTTGCTTACCTACAATCAAAAACACTTTTAGGAAAAGTCTTGCACGTGCGTGCCACACTTTATGCTATTTAATATAGATACCTACTAGGTAGTCCGACGGAGTTATAGCATCGAGAAAGAGATTGAAGTGTATGATTTGATGCATCAATCGTTTTGAACTATTGAATATGCGTTCCTCTGTCTCAATCCTATCTCACAATCGTGTTAATTCGTTTTCATCACATATCAGAAGGATATCTTCACAATCCAAAACCTCAAAATGTCCAACATATCATCGATATTTCTCGGACACCCGTGTCAAGTCAAGGCAGGCTGCTGATGATCCAAACTTCACATCTATAGTAGACAATCCTCCAAATCTAGTTCGGACTGGAAGAAGGCATGGACCTGGTCTTATTATTCTAGGTAAGTCACTGGCTTGTCCAACTTTTACTACCAAACTATCTAATTCACATGCTCGACAGCTTTGATTCCTCTAACAGCGTTTGCCCTGGGAACATGGCAAGTCCAGCGTTTAGATTGGAAATCAAAGCTCATTGCAAAATTTGAGGATCGCCTCGTTCGTGATCCTTTGCCACTTCCTCCACATATTGACCCTTCAGCAATAAAAGAGTTCGATTATAGGAGAATATTCGCAACTGGTCACTTTCGACACGATCAAGAGATGCTGATTGGTCCTCGCTTGCATGATGGCAAGGACGGATATCTCGTGATTACACCTTTGGAGCGGGATGGCAAGGGCACTAGTGTTCTTGTGAATCGAGGTTGGATCGAGAAGAAGTATAAAAAGCAAACAAGCAGACCCGATGGGTTACCTCAAGGCCAAGTAATGGTCGAGGGTTTGTTGCGTGAACCTTGGAAGAAAAATTATTTCACGCCAGATAACAGCCCACAAACCCAGGAATTTTACTTTCCTGACGTTGAGCAAATGGCAAAATTGACAGGAAGCCAACCAGTCTGGATTGAAGAGACAATGGGTGAGATATTCTTTTTATTGCATTTCAAAGACGTGTAGCTTACAAAATACAAGAGCCTGATCTTTTAATGGCTTGGGATCGCGCTGCACGCGGAGTTCCAATAGGAAGGCCGGCAGAGGTCAATCTCCGAAATAATCATACACAGTATATATTTACATGGTAAGCATCTACCAGGGATTATAAGACCTCGCCATCTGTACTAACGCGACTGACCGCGCGCCTCAGGTACGCCTTAGCTGCTGCTACGTCCGTTATGCTATGGATGGTTGTAAAGAAACCCTCCGCAGATATCGCTCGACGGGTTCGTCAAAACAAAGAATGGTCTTGAACATCATGTATACTTCCTCTCATTTTTTTGGTGGTTTCTGTCGTGATTGATCTCTCGATTTCAACCGAGAGTCCATTCGAACGTCTTGTAAGAGCTCTCTAGGCAGGCGACTTTGTGCGAGAGAAAATGGCGTTGTTGTAGCATTGGTCTGGCGTTGTCTGTAAAATACTCAGCATGTGTTCAGGTCTCTAATTATATTCGGATGAATACCTTTTCATGAGCATCAAAACATCACTCTCATCGATTGTTTTTCGCCCTGCATGTTCTGCGTATGTGCCCAAATCATCACTAATTTGTTCGAAGAACCAGTCTGTTGCCTGCATAATCGCATCTAGAGCATCCCGACTGAGCTTGTCTCCTTTGCCACCTCCATTCCGAGCTAAACTAATGGCATTCTTCTTTACCACAACTAAGGGTAATGACGAGTATTTCAACCCATGCTTTGAGATCTTGTTCTTTTTCCGGAACGTCCTATGCCAAGTTTCACGTGTGGCCTCCTCAATCGGTGTTGCCTTGGAGGCTTCGTCAACACTAAGGCGAGAGTTTTCGAATGTTTCAATCGACAACCTTCGGGAGTCATACTCGTCATTCATGGCATCATCATCCATTGTGAAATCATCTCCTTTGGTATTGTAAGCGGGCGAAGAAGGTTCGTTCATAACAAAACCTCCAATTTGAGTAGTTTCGGGTGATGGAGAAGACTCAGGTTGCATTGAAATTTCTGGCTGCGGGACTGTAAACACAAAAGTTGCGTCTCTCTCCTCGAATGGCGAATTGTACGGTCTGATATCACTACTCCGGCCTGGTAGAAGAGAGCGACGATCCAACCTAGTTTCGAACTCCCCATCTACTCCTGCGCGGTCACTGGCTTACGTTAGTACAGAGAAGAGGGCTATAGGATTCAAGCCCCTTGACTTACCTTCCAAAGAATGGGGAGTTTCCCATCTCAGGGAAATCATCATTCTCGTAATCATCCCCACCAAAAAAACTCGGTTCCATGGCATCTCCTCCAAGCTCCGCCTCATTCAAGTGTCCAAAACGGTAGCTTCCACGAGTACTACCAAAACTACTCCTTGAAAATAGCTTGTTTGGCTTTTCGTTGACAGCCCTCCTCGGGAGCTCGATGGATCGCGTCGTCAGATTTTCGTCTTCGAGAGCCGCCAGGCTCGGAAGTAAAAGGCTTTCGTCATCCTCGTTATCATCGTCGTCATTCTCATCGTCCAGGGGTAAAGAAAGTCGAGGGGGGACAAGATTTGGGCCGTCGTCAAAGTCGTCATCTAAAAGTAGGGTTTGCCTTCTGGAATTGCTAGGTACCCTTTGAGGGGATGGAACTGTCGGGCGTGTCTGAGGAGCTAAGGTTCTACTCAATAACCTTAATATATCACGGGGTGTCTCTCTTTGCTGTCTGCCACTTCGCCTCCTGTCCTTTCCCGGAGTTAAACCTGCTCGTCGGGCCTCAACTTCTCGTAAAGCCGCTCTCCCATGAGGTGTAAGAGCCTTAGTCCTAAGCTCTGAACCGCCAAGCCTCGAGCCACGACTGGGCGTTCTCGAATAGCTTGCATCTACTGGAGATGAGCCAGCATTCATGGTGCGGCGGAAAGGAGTTTCGGGTCTTTCAGTCATATTACCATACGTCTTGACCTGGAAAATAGATACGATGTCTATGTGTGTATCCGCATCTGCCTCAATCCGGATTTGTAATTGAAGACCAGGTCATCCGATCTGGATAATGGAGTATGTACCTAGCAGAGTTTCATTTGAAGTTGAGCCAGATATCAATACTGGAAGTAGAATAGCTACCTAGACAGACGCGTCCAGAACAGGATGTGTGCGCGAAGCTGTGGCTGTGCCAGTGCCTTATCTTATCTTAGCGTTGTCGGCCGACATGCACCTAGTTTAGCTGTGGGTTCGCAAGGCTTGAAATAATTTTTTGAGAATCATTGTATCTTTCAATTCAAAGTTCCGTTCCGTTATCTTCAATTGTGTGCGTGCTATCCTGATGGGCGAAACCTCAAAAGTTCAATTTACCTAGGAACATTATACAGTTTTGCGTACAATTCAAACACAATCTTGCTTCAATTCTTACTGCAAAAGTTTTCCACCTAGTTCAGCTCAGGCTCATATTATCACAATGTCGATTGAAAGTGAACTTCAAGATCCTTTGATAGAAGAAGTGAAAGTTCCAAGACCGCAATCTGGATCCGACAAGCCGGATAAAACAAGTACGAAGAAAAGAAAGCGAGGAGCAAATCATGATCAAGAGGTGCTCAAGCAAAAAGTCAACGTAGCAGGCAAAAAAAGGAAACACAATTCTTTCGATGACGAGGATGTTGATGTCGAAGCTGGTCTCAACAATGCTATCGCAAAAATGAATGACCATTTATTGGTTGATTATGTTGCGAGCCAGACGAGGAGATACGAAAGTGATCTCAGTTCTGTGGAATTAGAAGATCGATATTTGCCAGGTTAGTAAAACCTGCTCCTACTCCTCGACACTCATGAAGCTAGCTAATGTATCGCACTTTAAATAGTATCCGCTGTTCGGGATACTACATCATGGACGAAGCCGCGAAATCTTGATAACCTGCCTGAATTCTTGGAGAAGTTTTCTGGTAATCCAACAAAACTTTGGTCTGCATCGAAAAAGAATGGATCACCACACACAATCATTGTCACTGCCGCCGGCCTCAGGGCAGCCGACGTCGCTAGGTATGACCCTGCTGCTTTGCTTCACTATTGGAATCAACATCGATAGCATATAAGCCCTCATCTGACAATCACATAGAGCTGTACGAAAGTTTCAGACCAAAGACGTTAAAGTTGCAAAGTTGTTCGCGAAACACATCAAGCTTAAGGATTCCATTGGATTTCTCAAATCTTCAAGGACGGGAATCGCTGTCGGTACGCCTCAAAGATTGAAAGACTTGATGGATGAGGGTTCACTTGCGGTGGATAGGTTGGAGAGAATCGTCATCGATGCCTCACATATCGATCAAAAAAAGAGGGGTATTCTTGAAATGAAAGAGACGCTGATTCCTTTAACAACTTGGCTGGGCCAGGAACCTTTCAGAGACAGATATGAAAGTGCTACGGATAAGTTGCAAGTTTTGTTTTATTGACTGCAATCGTCGAACCTTAGCAAGCAAACTTAGCTATAGAGCTCTTAATGTAAGATCATAATCATAGTCATGGGAAGGTGCAAATGTCTCGTGCAATTCTGGCGTGATGTAGCAAGTTCGTACTGCAGGGACGTTCAAGAAAGGAAGGTCCCATTAACTGAGACCTACCTGTATGAGGCTTTCTTGTCTTAATTTGATCCTCATTCTGCCTGCTCTCCTTCTGCGTGATTCGAGACAACTACCCCTCGTTCACTGTATCACACACTCATTGAAACCGTTTCTCAACACAACGATCCTTCAACAACAGAATTCATAACGACTCAAGCTCTTTTGGCGGATTTCTTATGAGTCTAGGGTCACTTGTGCCCGAGCTGCTAGCTGTATGATGAGGCGTGCTATCTTACTGATAGCCATGGCAATGGCGAATGGTCCTGTTACAAGTGATGGAAATTTTCCAGCTCCAGGTAGTAATATCTTTGGAGAACTGAGAGCGCCACATTGACATCTGATTGCAGGTTGTGCGGCGCGTTGCTGGGAAAACACGAAATATATCAGTAAATGCGCGGATAATAGCACATGTCTTTGCCATGATGCCGAGTACCAAAACGTCAGTCGCACAATTAAGTCTTTATCCTAACATCTGGCATCTAGCAGCAAGATAGCCACCATTTGGTCCTTTTATATCAGAGGCTAACCTAGTTGTTGCAGTCTATTTTCAAATGCATATATTCCCAATGCGATACTGCTCATTTCGGATCCGCACTACATCATACCATGACTCGATGTGTTGGCGTTGCCGATAGCCTTCTAGTAGTGCCGCCTGTGTCCAACCATGATTCTCTGCGCAGAAGAGAAGCTCAATACCTCGAAGGAGTGAAATTAGAAGACTCGGGATCTATTGTGGGATATCCAACACTCAGCGGAAGCCCGCTTCAAAGTGCTTTACCACTTGCATCTGCCGTAGCTTTTTCATCAATACCACCATTATTATACCTTACGAGAGATACTGTAAGAGCATCAGCGACAGCATTCGTCACAACTCCAGTTGAGTCGGCTCGAACAACATACAATACTGCCCCAGATTTCATCACGGCCAGTCCTGTTCTTTTTACCGGCGATGGCCTCAAAGTGCTACCTAGTATGTTTTTCCTATTCTCAGCTACGATTTCAGGATTATACTTGGCCGTTTGATTACCAGAATAAAATTTGTCGGAATTTCTGGATTTCAATTGTAGGGGAAGTGGCTGTCTTTGAGAGTAATGTGGAGTAATGGGATCCGGACTGGGTACATGAAGCATGGATTTTATCAGTACTTGGTGTTCCGTCTGCCTGTGTATTTTTTACCTCTCAATGATATGATTTAGCTTTATAAGAATATGTAATTACTGAATACCAAATCCTCATATTGAAATAAAATAAGTATGTAGCTACCAGTAAAGAATGGATTAAGTATAATTAAATCTCTTGGTCCTCTCCTCCAGCGGTCTCAAAAGCAAATGCCTGTAAACTCACGTGATACATATTTTATCCTATCACCGCTATGGCAGAATATTTCTCGCAGCAAGGAAATACCAAAGTAGATTCTCGAAAATTGTTTGGCCGGGTCTTTAACATTTCAATACTTGATTAAATCTTCGCAATTAAATTTTTTACTCTCTCGCACATCAACATCCGCTCGTTTACTTACCTTAATTATGGGATTTGGTGCAGGAGCTTCTCGAGCCGAGAGAAAGGCAAAAAGGCGCAAGCTTGAAAATTCGATTCCCGACATACCTGACGACAACGATATAGAATCCATTGACGACAGCGCTGTTTCGTCAAAGAGGAAAAGAGCCTTGGAAGATGACGCAAACGAGGACCAAGCTATCCCTCTAGACCACAACGAAGATCTCGCGAAGAACAAGGAGTCCAATCGCAAGTCCAAGAAAACTAAAACTTCAGCCGAAACGCCTTCACAGCCTGCACGGATTAGAGAGTCATCCCATGTAACGGAGACTGAACCTGCTCCTAAAAAGTCAAAGAAGGAAAGAAAAGCGGAGAGAAAGGCGAGAGAGGCCGCTGAAAATACAATATCCACAAACCAAGAGGCGGAAGCTGCTGCTAGAGGAAATGATCAAGATACCAAGGCTCCTGGATCCTCTGATCAAACCACTGCTGAGAAGAAACGTGTGAAAAGCAAGAAGCAGGGAGGTGCATCCGATGCAAATACAGAAAGCAAGGCTTCAAGGTTCATTGTGTTCATTGGTGAGATACCTTGTACTGGAAGTTGTACCGTGCTGGATTAATATAAGTTATTAGGAAACCTCCCATTTACTGCTACGACCGCGTCAATAAAAAACCACTTTGCTGCCGTCAAACCTGCCTCGGTTCGTCATCTTACAGAAAAGGGAAATCCTACTAAATCAAGGGGTTGTGCTTTCCTTGAGTTTGAAGGTTATGATTATATGAAAACTTGTCTCAAGCAATTTCACCAATCCACATTCAATGATGGTATTTCAGCACCAAGAAAGGTCAACGTTGAGCTAACGTAAGTGTGATCTATGCTCTATCTTGGTGTTCCATCTGACTGCTATAAAGTGCCGGAGGTGGTGGTAACACAAAAGACCGCCGCTCAAAAATTAAAGGGAAAAATGAGAAACTGAATGAACAACGTGTAAGACAAGCACAAGTGGTAGGCCTCTCCTCATTTGCATGTTCATATCGCTGGGCTGCAACGACTCTCAAGGCGAGAAGTGGATTCGCTAGCATGCTAACAGAATTTCCAGGCCGATAATCCAAAACCCAGCAAGAACGAAGCGGTCGACGGGGTACAGCATGTGTTAGCTGAGGATAGTGGAGTGCATCCGAGTAGGAAGGCAAGAATTGGTGGATGAATTATGATACCCGTTTGCAATTGCATATAACTGGAGGCTCAATCAATCAGGAAACCCGTCTCAGCATTAATGGAATTCAAGATCCTTATTTGTTTATTTCTTCATTACTCCGTGCATTTATCTTGACTTATCTACAGAAAAGGAGGTATCTTCGGTATCTTCAAAGATGCATGCTGCATCGATATATGCTGCCACATCCATATAATGCCAAATTCTACAGCATAGAAACGAAAAAGTCAAGAAACAGAAAAAGCTTGATATTAACCCATTCGTATTTCCAGCACCTTACTCCTCAAAATCCTGCATCTCCAGTAATCGGAGAGGTTGAACCACTTCCAACCATATCATTCGTGGTAACCGATGATGTGTCTATAGGTTTTCACCTGTCATTGTCTCCAATCGCTCTTACTTCACAGAACTATGCACTTAGACTTCTTTGGTTTGGGTGCTTGTTGTTGCGGACTTAGAACGGCTCTTTAGTCCAGTTAGCTGATCACCGTCATATCGCGCAATAGGGAACATGTCTTACCGGATTGCTTCATCAAACACACTCTTCAGGTTTCTTTGAGTGAGGGCAGAACATTCTAAGTATTTGTGTGCTCGGATCTCTTTGGCAACAACTCTCGCCTGGTCATAGGTTACAGGCTCCATTCGTTTGGATCGAAGGGATTCTTTCGTAGGCTCATCATCTCGAAGATCCAACTTTGTTCCGACAAGAATGATTGGAACACCGGGCGCATGATGGGATATCTCGGGAAACCACTATTTTTTCAATTGTGTTAGTGGAACATAGTCATAAATCTCCTGCAGATGTGTGAGGTTTAAAGGCATACCTTTGCTCTGACGTTGTCGAAAGATGGAGGGCTGACAATGGAAAAGCAAATCAAAAAAACATCTGTTTGTGGATAGGAAAGTGGGCGCAGTCTGTCGTAGTCCTCTTGTCCAGCAGTATCCCACAAACCAAGGCTTATTGGCTTCCCATCAACCATGACACTGGCCGAATAGTTGTCGAACCTGACTATGTTAGTATCCAGCCTTAATGTAACCAAGCACCCATACTCACACAGTAGGAATATATTCTCCGGGAAATGCATTAGTAGTATACGAAATTAGAAGACATGTCTGTGGAATAATGTAAGTGATTGAATTAAACATGTATTGATGAACTGGAGAAATACCTTGCCAACAGCTCCGTCTCCTGTCACAACACACTGTTCATAGATAAGGTCAGTTTCCTTACTCAACACACGATGAGATCAATATTTGCCAGAGGTACAATAAATCTAACCTTTAAGGATTGAGTTCCCGGCGCTGCCATTTTCTGCTCTTGAAAATGATTTTGAAAGCGTGCTTGTATTGTATTGGTCGGTTGGTCGATCGTTATGTGTTGTAGGATGAACGAGTCAAATGGTTGTTGTATTTATTATGAGAATAGCTGTGCATGATTGTTAAATTCTTGATACAACGGAATCTGGTTGTGCGGATCTTTGAATGAAAGACAGGATATGCAACCTAAGTCTGTATGGAGATTTACCTTCTCGATGGACCTTTTTTCGAAAGGATTGTTGATTTCAATTGAAGAAGCTGTGCAGAATTGTTTTGCTGTAGTGTTGGTTGGATTTCATTCAAGTTGATGTTGGCTTGTCAGTTGTTATGTTATTATTATCTTTTAAGTCGATAAGTGAGGCCGACGTATTGATGATTGTGAGAATATTTTGTATAAAAAAAGTAGTTTGATTGATAGCAAGATGAGAAAAGTCGCAATTATGGATTAAAAGGCGAGCAAGACTTGCTATGATCTGTTGTTGAGACAAAGCATGAAGCCTGAGCGCGGCAGGCTACTGAGCACATGAGGCAGATCTGTAACTGCAAAGCTTACGATAAAGCCATTAGCCACGGGTTTACTTCGCTGATAGGAGCTAAGCCTATAGAAGCTTTGAAAATATAAGAACAATGAATAATTAAAACGATTGATCAATTGTATTAATTGTATTGATTGATTGAATGATTTAATTATAAAACGAGATATTAGATACTTTATCTAACTAAAAGAATAGAAAAAATATATAAATATAAAATTAAAATTATTTATTAATAATAAAAATTTAATTATAAAACAAAAATAGTTTTAAATTTATTATATTAAAAAAATTTAAATTATTTTATATATATACTTTAATCTTTAAAGATTTTTTATTTAAAAAAATTAAAAAAAATTTTATTTTGATTATATTATATTATATAATAAAATCAAAATAAATAATCTCAATTTTATATTTTATAATATATTATTATCAGGGCCTACGCCCCCGCTTTCGAGACAGTCTAATGAAAATTTAAGGTTTAAAAGTTTATAATAAATTAAATATTGAATCTATATCAGGGGCAGATAGAATATCAGCTTGTTTTGATAATTGAAATTAAAAAATTTATTTAAAAATAATATTTATAATATTTTATGATATTTATAATAATAATATTTTATATTATTTATATTATTTATGTTACAGATCTTATATAAGAACGATCATATGATTTCAATTTCTATCGATGAGTTGATAGTTTATATACTTGAGATCCGATTTACTCTTTTTAGTATAAGATTATAATCACTTTAAGATTAAATATATATAATTATACAACTATTATATAAAAATTTTATATATATATATATAGATATTCCTTACAAATTATAATTTTTCAATTATATATTCTAAAGAATATAATTGATTTTATTTATTTAGTTTTTATAAGACTTTTATATATTATATTATCTATAATTTATTTATTATTACAAATAGTATAATTACAAAATATATAAAACAACCTTGGTAGAAATGATATATAAAAGTATATCGAGTTATATTGAAATAAATAAATTTGTTTTTGATTTTATTGATCAAGAGTTTTATATATATAAGATCTAATTTATTATTTAATCAATAATCATTTTAATAAGGAAATAAACTAAATAAATAAAGTTTTGTATAAAGTAATATAATCAATATGATTATATAAAATCGATCAAATATAAAAAAAATATAAATAAATAAATACTATGATGTTAAAAATTATACAGATTATATAAGAGTATATGATTTCTGTGATACATCTCTCAAATCAAAATTCGATTTGAATCTTATGAGAATATTTATATTGATCAAAAAAGTAAAATGATTTTATTAGATTTCTATTTGTTGATAATTGTTGACTTGCTGACTTTATAACCTTGCTGTACACGAGGTTTACCTGGTGTAGGTTGTAGAAAATGAAGTTCGCTTAAGGTTGCGATATGATTGGTCGAGAAATGAGTCGCGATCCTGACAATCTGATTGATCTAAAATACCCCGATAAAAAATCTAATAAAAAGCTTGGCATAAGCCTTACAACCTTAGACAAATCTGATTTAGAGCTTTTTTCAATTTAACTTAATTGAAATCATTCAACTTTATTAAAATCATTCAACTCTACTGAAATCATTCAATTCATTTTATTCAATTTAAAATAATAATAATAATAATATAAATAATATAAAATATTGTTATTATTATAAAAAACAATAAAAATAATATAAATAATATAAAACATTATTATTATTTAAATATCATAAATAATAATATTAAATAATAATATGATAATATTAAATAATAATATGATAATATTAAATCATATTATAATTATTATTTTTAAATAAAATAACTTAGTTTTTAATTATTAAAAACAAATTGATATTCTATCTATACTCTAATATATATTTAATATTTAATTTATTATAAACTTTTTAAATCTTAAATTTTCATTAGACTGTCTCGAAAAGCCAGGGGTTTGAGGGGCGCAGGCCCCTGATAAGTATATTTTTGTTTTATAATTGATACAAGATATTTAAATATAAGGCTTTTAATAACAAAATCTGAAATTGAATGAATGATCTCTGATTTATTAAGATTATATATAGATCTTTATTATAATTGATTTAAGGAATTGTTTAATCAACTAGATCAGTATATAAATGATTGAATAATATTCCTTAAAAAGTTTGATTAGAAATCTTATTATATTTGATTAGATATAAGTTTTTGTTTGTATCAAAGTTAGTATAGCTTTGTAATCAAATAAAAGGTATATAAGAAATTTCAAAATTATGATTTTTGATAAAAAGAAAAGGTTCTTTTGTTAGAAAAATATATTATTATATATAATTGTTATCAAATAGATGAACGATATAATTATCGAATAATATAATTGTTATTAGATTATAATATAAGTCTAGTACCTCACTTTCCGGCCACCCCTCTTTCCGGACACCTTTTTATACCAAAAATCATCATTTTCACCTATTAATAACTTCACAATTAATCATTAAGATTTGATGAAATTTGAATCATATATATATTATATAATTATTAATAGATTCTGAAAATTTCAGATTTTTCGCGATTTTATTGGTTAAGAAATTGAAAGTTGATATTACGATTTTCAATTTGTATAAGATTTATATACAAATTTGAAAAACTTGAAAAACTTCAATAATTTTTCAACAAAAATTACTAAAAATAAACTATAAATTTTTTGAAATCTTCAAATCAAAGATTATATAATAGATTAGGATTTTGAATTTTTAATAATATAAATAAATCTTTATTAATATTTATAAATTTTACAAGGTTTAAAAATCATAACATTTTGATTAAAAGGATTTCTGCAAAACATTTTTTAAAATAAATTAATTTATTTGATCAATTATGATATAAATATTCGAAAAAATTTATAATTTATTTTAATAATTTTGTTCAAAAGTTATTGAAGGTTTTAATAATTTTTCAATTTTGTATAAAAATCCTATATAAATTGAAAATTCAAAAAGTTAACTTTTCAATTCTCAATCAAATCAATAGTGAAAAATCTAAAATTTTCAAGATTGATTGATAACTATATAATAAATCTACAATGCAAATTTCAATCGATTTAATTAATTAATTGTTGAAATATTAATAAGTGAAAATGATGATTTTTGATGTAAAAAGATATCCGGAAAGAGGAATGGCCGGAAAGTAGGGTACTAGACTTAATGATTATAATTTATTTAGAATATCAACTATTTAAAAGGAAATATATAATAATTTTTTTTTTTCTTTTTTTCTTTATAATTGTTTAATTTGTTCTTTTATTTTGAATAATAAAAAGTTTAATATTAGAAAAGAGAGAGAAAAGAAAAGAGAGAAAAAAGGATAAAGGAGAAGAAGGAGAAGAAGAAGAAGAAGAAAAGAAAGATAAAAATAAAGAAGAAAAGATTAAAGAAAAAGAAGAAAAGATTAAAGAGAAGAAAAGAAGAAAAGAGTATGATGAATATATGAAGAAAGGATTGTAAAGATTATCAAAAATAACAATAATTATTATTGAATATAAAGAATCTTTAAAGGAAGGATTATAGAAATCAGTAAAGATAAATTAAAAATGCTTTGATAAATAAATCTATTGTAAAACAATCAAAAGCTAATCTTCAAATAATAGATTAAGAAACAATTTATATATTTCAGTTTGGAATTAACAAATGACGAATAAAGTATTCAAAGAATTGTTTTGTTAAATGATTCCAATAACTTTGATTCTGATAATATTTAATCAAATTCTTTTATTTAATCAAATTCTTTTATTTGATTTATAATTTCTTTTGTTTGTAATATTTGTTTGTTGTTCAAAAAGGTTGTTTTTTGTAATTGATTCGATTACTTTTATTTGTAATGATTCTATTGATAGCTTTTTTGAATTTAAAAAACTTTTTTATACAAACGAAAAAGAAATTCTTTTATTTAAAATTTGATTGTTTGTAATTATAAGAATCTTGGTAATTGAAAGGTAAATTGTAATTATAATCTTATTTGAATAGTTTTTGTTAGTTTTGAAAGAGAATATCATAATAAAGGATAAACGAATTATTCGAAAAAGAAAAAAAAATGGAGAAGGAGGATAGTTTTTATAAATTGAAGATTGGAGTTTCAGAATTGTTCGATTTTAATTCTTTATTGAAGGAAAAGGAGATTATTATAGAAAAGAGTATTAATATAAAAAAGAAGATTATTAATATTTATAAATAAAAGAAATCTTAAGTTAAAAATGAATATAATAAATTTAAAACTTATTTTTATATTTATTATATAAAATCTTTGATAATAGAAAAATATTCATTTTATAATTTCTGTTATTCAGATAAATTATATTTGAATAATAAACATTGTTGGAATTATAATATTCATTTTTATAAAGAGTTTCTAAACTTTCTTTATTTTCTTATATTCTTTTTTATAATTGTTTATAAACAAAATTTGAAAATTAAATTATATTCCTTTTTTATTTGTAATTATATTAATCTTATTGGTTATAATAAATCTTTTCAGATTATTGAATTATAATAAGGATTATACTTTATATTAAAACTATTTGTATTGTTTATCTAAATTGTCTTTCTATATTAAAGAATGATTTTATATCTTTCAAATTGCTTTTAATTAAAAAAAAAAGATCGATTTCTTTACAATCTCTTTGTTTAAAAAAAAAGGTTTTCAAGTTTGATTATAGAAAGATTCTAGAAACGATTATTATATTCGATTTGAATAATAAAAGATCAGATTCGTTATTGAGGGCTTTGTTTAATAAGAATACGATAGAGTATAAAATGTTTGAGTTAAGAAAGAAAGTTCAATTCAAAAAGAAGAGAAAAGGAAAAGATAAAAATTAATACTAAATTGCTTTTATAATTCTTGAGTTATTTTATATTCGATTTTAATAATCTTATTATTTACATCTTTTAAATTTAAAAATAAACAAAAGTATTC